ACCTTTCCCTCTTTAGTTTTTCTGATAAAATTCCCTCCCTGAAGTTTGTATTTCAAAGAGATGGCCTATATAAGAGGTCCCAGAGAAGACCAGGTAGACCATTCACATCACAGAGGCACAGGGAAAGAATGTAAATGCTTCCAAGAAGGACTTTTGTTTTCTAAGGCCCAAATTTTCACCATACTTAGAAGCCTTTAGAGATGTATTGGGGTGGTTTTGATATTGGTAAAAAAAAAAAAAAGAGAGAGAGAGAGATGGACTTCAGATTGTTTCTGGAGCTGAATCTCTTGTTTTGTGAAGATTTATAAGATGTGGACAGTTGCTTTAATTCCTCAAAGAATTAGGTTGCAACTTAAATGATATCATAATTTGATCCACCTATGCAACGACATTATCCTCAGTTTGCTTCTATGTTAGGGAGGAGCTTTCCAACTGAGATGGAAATCAAAAGATTTCTGTGTTCTGGATTTGGATCTGTTTGTGGAATGTTTTAATAAATCCTTTCACAGAGGCTTCAGATGCTTTTTCGTCTGGGTACATCCTTTCATTTTAGCTTAGGGAAGAAGGCCTAAGAAAACTTCCTCTCAGGGTCTGATTATCAGCTTCCAGTTTGGCCAACTTCTGACCACAGAGCTATTTAAAAACTCCTTTTAAAATATCTTGTCACTTTTCAGCCAGGACATAGAGTAAATGTTTCTGGCAGTATTAAACAGCCCCCCTTCCAGGTAAGAGGGGACCTCACGAGGGTATAAAAGGATACTTACTATCTTCCCAAGATCCAGAGTTACTCTCAAAGATAGCCAAAAGAACCAGCAACCTGCATGTCCCATTCAGGCAGAAAACCAAGCCAGGTTCTTAGGACACAAAACAAGACAAGCAGGAAGGCAGTAGCTGTCCTTTAGGAAGAAAGGATCAAGAACCAGTATGTTTGGATTTGGAAAGAAAAGGACAGTGTGAAATTTTATTTTTGTCTTTCGACTGGGCATTACAGATGGCTATTCAGGAGAGCTGACTCTGGTATGAATTCTCATTTTCTCTGGCTTCTACCAGTTTTCCCAGGATCCCCTCTGTAGCCTCTGGTATCTACCAGAATTTGGCAAGATTTTTTGTTAATTTTAATTTTAATTTCCCTTGGCTGTTTAAGAGAATAACATAGCAGTTTACCAGAAAATCCCTGAGTCCCACCAACTCTGGGAGGAGCTCATATGGGGGCCTTCTTCAAAGACAGATATGGGGGCATTCAAGTTGGCGTTGAAGGATTTATCCACAATGCTTGAGGACAAAATTTTTTCTAATGGCCCAGTTGGTTACGAACGATATGCTGATGTCTGGGCCAGTGTTTTGATGTTGTACTCCTGGGAGGGTGTAAGGGGGAGGCCTTAGGTGTTGTTTTAGATATCTTTTGTGTCTTTAATTTTTCATTACCCTTTGCAACAAAACTCGCAGTGAAACCGTTTTGGAATCTTGAAGGCTTTGGAAGCTTCTGCATACCAGTTAAAATAGGTACCCATTCTGTTTGTTTGATTTAGGAACCCTTGCTTTTGTTTTTTCCTTTAATTTTTTTATTGTTATGTTAATCACTATACATTACATCATTAGTTTTGGATGTAGTGTTCCATGATTCATTGTTTGTGCATAGCACCCAGTGCTCCACGCAGAATGTGCCCTCTCTAATACCCATCACCAGGCTAACCCATCCCCCCACCCCCCTCCCCTCTAGAACCCTGTTTGTTTTTCAGAGTCCATCGTGTCTCGTGGTTCGTCTCCCCCTCCGATTTACCCCCCTTCATTCTTCCCCTCCTGCTATCTTCTTCTTCTTTTTTGTTTTTTCTTAACATATATTGCATTATTTGTTTCAGAGGTACAGATCTGTGATTCAACAGTCTTGCACAATTCACAGCGCTCACCATAGCACATACCCTCCCCAATGTCTATCACCCAGCCACCCCCTCCTTCCCATCCCCCACCACTCCAGCAACCCTCAGTTTGTTTCCTGAGATTAAGAATTCCTCATATCAGTGAGGTCATATGATACATGCCTTTCTCTGATTGACTTATTTCACTCAGCAAAACACCCTCCAGTTCCATCCACGTCGTTGCTAATGGCAAGATCTCATTCCTTTTGATGGCTGCATAATATTCCAGTGTGTGTGTGTGTGTGTGTGTGTGTGTGTACGTACACACACACACACACACCATATCTTCTTTATCCATTCATCTGTCAGACATCTTGACTCTTTCCACAGTTTGGCTATTGTGGACATTGCTGCTATAAACATCGGGGTGCCCGTACCCCTTCGGATCCCTACATTTGTATTTTTGGGGTAAATACCCAGTAGTGCAATTGCTGGATCGTATGGTAGCTCTATTTTCAACTTTTTGAGGAACCTCCATACTGTTTTCCAGAGTGGTTGCACCAGCTTGCATTCCCGCCAACAGTGCAGGAGGGTTAGGAACCCTTGCTTTTAAGTATACTTCTTAAATAAGTGATCTTGTCTAATTGGAATATTCCCATATTGGCCATTGTAATTCTAGGTTATCTTTAGGAAGATTTTGCATTTTTGTAGATATCTATAGCTTCTGGGACTGTAGTTCTTAGCCATAAAATAAGTAGGTATGCTGGAAGTCAGTATGCTGAACTCTGGAATTTATTTTTTTTTAAGATTTTATTTATTTGAGAGAGTGTGTGCACGCAGTCACGAGCTGGGCGAGGAGGGGCAGAGGGAGAAGCAGACTCCGTACTGAGCAGGGAGCCCAACATGGGGCTCCGTTCCAGAACGCTGAGATCATGACCTGAGCCAAAGGCAGCTGCTTAACCAACTGAGCCACCCAGGTGCCCCTCAACTCTGGAATTTAAAGATCCCATTTCTTCTAACTATAAGCTTTTGAGTCTCTCAGAGCCAAATTAATACCTAAAGGGATATGCTGCTGGGTTAGGAATTGTGTGGTGTTTTACAGCATACTTGTTGCACAGAAATTTTTTTGAGTTTGGCAGGTAACCCAGTATCACTGTAGTGTCCATTGCATGGCCAGCTTACCCTAACACAGGAGTCTTAGAGTTAGCTGGCAAATGCTCTAATAGGTTTTTAAGTGCTCGGCCTGTGCCCATCAATTTTGTAGCTTTTGGCTTCTGAGATTCTCATCCGCAATAGCCTTTACCTTGTGTGCACCTTAACATAAGTGCAGTAACTGCGATCTTACTAACCAGTGCACCACCAGCACTTCTCAGTGTGGAGCTGGGGACTTGGGAAGGTACTGAACCAGCAGACACCAGAGAATGGGAATCAGGGACCGGGATTCCCATGAAATGGGGAACTGCACACTGAACCATTAGAAGTCCCCAACAGGGCATCTGAGGACTGGGGTCCTCAGGACCTCTCCACTCCGGTCAAGTGGAGAATTGCAGACCAAACTAGCCACAGCATGGTCTCGTCAAGTGGGGGACCGTAGAGAGCCAGTTAGGTCAGGGGCTCAACGCCAAGAGAGCAGAGCTCAGAACTAAGAGGAACGTCCCGTGGCCCTGAGAAATGGCAAGAAAGACCAAGAACTCAAAGGGCTCACGGGCACCAGAGCTAGCTGTTTCTCATTGTCCTCGAGGCTGTCTGAAGTTTCCTTCAGGTCCCACCACTGCCATCAAGTCTGTAAAAAGAAAATTCAGCTGAGGAAATTTTAAAGATCTTACTGGCTTAATTCAGTGATTCAGCATCCCATTGAGCAGACAGAAAGGAGCTCTGAGAAGCTGTACGAAGTGAAGCTTTTATAGGCAGAAGCGGGTGGGACAAGGAAGTTCTTGGGAAAGAGAGCATTGTTTCAGACAAGGTCACCTTTCTTTGGGGGACAGCTGGGGTCTGTCGGGCAGGTTACCTCACCAGTGCTGACCAGGTAACTCCAGGTGGACTGCTTTAAGATTCCACTCTTGGGAGAGGTTGAAACTGTAATTTAGATACCAAGTCTCAGTTTGGTGAGTGGGCTTAGTACAAGTGACTCCCACTTGGGCCCTCTCCCTTTTTTAAACGACACCCAAGGCTCAGGCCCCCCTGGTGGGCGGCCCCCAGGGCTGAGGACTGGGCCTCAGCCCAGGCCCCCTTCCCCCCCAGCCTCCCTGCCTTTGGCCACCGTGGCGACTCCCTGTGACTCGGACAAGGATGGTGTCCCCCTCTCAGCAGTCACCTCGGGGTTTTGCTTCTTTAATTCTTTGGATAATTTTGATTTACCATTATTTGATTTAAGCAGCCGTCCCTTTCTGTGTATTCATTCTCCAGCCTTCTTTTCTTTCAGGTCTTGCCCCTCTCCACCTCCTCCTGCTGTGTGGCTGTTTGACGTTACTCGCCCTTCCTTCGCCTGCTTCGCTCCCATCTCAGCTCCGTCTCCAGCCGTAGATGGCCTGATGATGCGCCGGCCTTTTCACACGAAATCAACTTGCTTTGTTTTTGTTTTAATTTGGTTTTTGATTCTTGTTACTGTTGGCAGAAACAATGTTAATTCATGGGCCTTTTTCTTGCTAAATTTTGGGTGCCCTGGGGTGGGGGCTGCATCATGATCTGCTGAGGAATGAATGTAAGGACAGAGGCTGTCACCCTCCGAGGTGGTGGTTGCCTTCTGGTCATGTCTGTGGCTCAGGAGAGGGGACCAGGCAGTGAGCTGTGTGATTGCCAAGCGTGTCAACAGATTGTGCAGGGGCCTCCCGTGTCAGGGGCAGAGGTCAAGGACAGGCCTGGGGAAGGGAAAGGCCCTGGCCCCTGAGCTGCTGCCAAACCCTGCACGGCTTCCCCTCCACGGTGGTGGGACAGGGAGCTTGGGGAGGGGTGTCAGGTGAACTGGCCAAGCGTGCTGTGCGCAGCCTCCGCACCCTGCAAAAGGGGAGGCCCAGGGAAGGCTGGGATGCGCCCGGCACAGCAGTGTTGGCGGAAGGCGCTCCTCTGCAACTCAAGACCAAGCTGGCCTCAGGCTGTGGGGGGGACTCTGTCTCCCCCTCAGCAGCCTCGTGTCCTCTCTTGCAGGAGGTCCCAGGTCATTGAGAAATTTGAGGCCTTGGACATTGAGAAGGCAGAGCACATGGAGACTAACTCATCAGCCGGGCCCTCGCCATCAAGCGACACTCGCCAGGGCCGTAGCGAGAAGAGGGCATTTCCCAGGAAACGGGTGAGCACCTGGGGCCCGGGCAGGGCCACGTGCGGCCACGGGGGGCACGCTCAGCACGTGGCCCCACCCCTTCTCACGGGGCCCCCAAAACCACACCTGCACGCACGGCTGCTGGGCTTCCCGCTCTCGTTTCCCAGCTGTTTGCTTGCGTCTCTCCTCTCCTCCCGCGAGTGACTTTCTTGAGGGCAAGGCCTGTCTTCTGCATCTTCCTGTCAGGACGTCATCCATTTCTGCTAAAGGCTAGTCCGACGATCCTCAGATCCCAGGTCATAGCTGGAGCTGCTCTCTTCCTCTCTGAGGCAGCCCAGCCACGAGGCTGAGCACCTTCCTTCCTCTTTCTTTCGAGTGGCGGCCACAGCCCTCGCTTCTCTACTCAGCCCACGGGCAGATCCCTCTTCTGAACCCCCCTCCTCCTCCTCCTCCCAGGCAGCCCACCCGCCTCTTGTGGCCCTGCTGTGTCCGATCTTCATCTTCCTCCCCAGCTTCTCTCTGGGCTCGTGAGGTGCTCTGCTGCTGGCTGCCACAGAGTCCGGGGCTCTTCCTTCTGTGACCCCGAGAAGCCAGGGGACGGGGTGGGACCAGGAGAGTGATGGTGACGAGTGCATCTGAAAGGAAAGGCCGCCCCAACAGCTAGCACGTCTGCGAACCAGCTGCGTGAAGCGGGGGGCGCTAGACGAGGAGTCCGGCACTCTGGCTCTGGTCCCCACGCTAGCCCAGACTTGCCATGGGAGCCCAGACAGAGTGCTCTCGTCCTCGCCTGGGAACAGTCTTGACCCTCCCGCAGCTCTGGCTGCTGGTCTCCCCGCTCCCCGCCTCAGTGTACTGGCTTGTACTGACCGGCGGCCGCTCTCTGCCACAGGACCTCCCCAGCGAAGCCCCCACAGCTCCTCTCACGGACACCTCGGCCTCCCCCCTGTCTCCACACCGAAGAGCCAAGTCACTGGACAGGAGGTCCACGGAGTCCTCCCTGACGGTGAGCCCAGGCGCCTGCGCACCAAGGCCTGGAGACGCTGCTCCTGCCGCTTCTGTCACTTGGGGTCACTGTCTGCTTATGTCCGTGTGTCCGTGCTACCTGTCCCCTCTGCACCGGCCTTCGTGTCTGTGCGTGGGAAGCAGATGCTGGGTTTCGTTCCCCTTTTTGGACTCCATGGGCATCCTGAGCTCTGAAGTGCCTGGTACAGGCCACTTGGCCAAGACAGCAAAATCCTGACTTCGGGGCACCGGGGCCACAGCAAGGAACCTCTGTTCTTGTTTTGGGTGTTTGTTTCAGTGACATTTTGGAGACAGGAGCCCCCTCTACCTGGGAGCCCTTGCCTTGTTTGTGATGTTTCACCACAGAAGGAGAAAGGCCTTTGCCCTAGGTCCTTCGAGCTGCAGCAGTGGGGGTGTGCGTGGGGCATGGTCAGGTGGGACCATCGCTCCCTCAGGGAGCTGAGAGCGGCCCACCAGAGGCCCTGGGAGTGAAGGACACCTGCTCACAGGGTGACCTGGGGCTCAGCAGCCTTCTGAGAAGCCTACGGTGGGTTCCACTTCTACCTCTAGGGTGTGGAGCCACCCACCCACACACTGACATGAACCTGAACAAGGATGGGAGGCCGTCTTACCTAGAGGAAGTTGGTTTTTTCCTTGAGCCTGGGCGTGGCTCGGAGGTTTGGAACAGAGACTCCTAGAACACGTGTTGCTGGTGGTGGTCCTGCCACTGTACACCTGTTCTCATAATCCGCCCCCCCCCCCCCTCAGTCCTTCAAATACAGAAAGACATCACAGCCTATTTCTGGTCAAGACAGCTGTGGGGAAGTCGAGAGCAAGCACATGGCGCGAGGGGAAGGATGATCCACATCTCTTTAGACGCTGGCTTTACAGGTGTCCAGGCGTGAAACACAAGGCCCAGCTGGGCTGCAGGTGGTCCTCAGGTGCTTCCTCCCGTGGCTCCGCAGGCCCCGGGACACTGGTGCAGGAGAGCCCGGCTGGGACAGCGCCCCCTGCTTTCCTGTCAGCTGTCCAGGGTTTGCATCTTGCAGGGAAACGGAGCCTAAAGCCAGTCCTGTTCCATACGCCTCAAGGCCTCAGCAGGCTTGCTGCTGCATCTTTGCTCAACACTGTACGTGGGCTCTGCTCTTCAGGCTTCCTCTCTCAGTCTTCCTGTGGCTTCTGTGAGAACTTCTGATTTCTTCTGTTAGTGCTCACTGCAGATTTTCCCCTTCATGGGAATCACTAAACAGCTCTTCCTCCGGGCCGTTCTGTGCTGCCAGGCAGCCGCTGCTGACGTAGCCGGGGGCTTCTCTCAGAGTGTCCGGGCCGCCCAGCTTCTGCTGCTCACAGGGCGCTGGGGCCGTGCCCTTCCCTCCTCATCAGCCCGCCGAGCCCGGCATCTCCTCCCTCGAAGACACGCGAGTCTGCAGAGTGTTTGCGGGCAGGGGAGAAACCCCTTTTCCTGCCGCCCACCTCATCTGGACAGAAATGCCTGCCCCTAAGTCACCCTTTCCCTACAACTGGTATATCAGCGTCCTTTCTTCTGAACTGTTCTTTTTTTTCCTCCCTTTCTTAGCCCGACCTGCTGAATTTCAAGAAAGGCTGGCTGACCAAGCAGTATGAGGACGGCCAGGTGAGTATGGAGGGCTGCTGGGGCCCCTGAGGCAGTGGGGAGCAGGTGCGAGGTCTACTCGTCCCTGGCAGGTGTGGGAACCCTGGCTCGATCCCCCACCTCCAGCGTGACCTCTTGTCTTGTGGGCCAGGACTGTGGTGTGGCCGAGATCCCCATCTCCTCAGGGACGTGGAGGTGCACAGCCTCCCCCCCAACCCTCAGTTCTGCAGTGGGGGGTGGGGGCCTCTGGAGAATATTGCCCCCCTGCACCCCACAGGGATCTCAGCCTCAGGCCAGGGGAGCATCCTACAACACTAGCTCCCTACCTGGTAATCTTTCCTAAAAGCTTCCTGGGAGCCCAGGCTCCCCAGGGAGCCTCTGGTTGTGTGGTTGGCTTGTGGTTGCTTACAAGGCCGGCCAAGTGGACAGCAGCCGAGGGCTTCTAGACTCTACCAGAGACTCCAGCTCAGCTGCAGTCCTGGGAGGAGCCAGTGGGGTACATTCTTACCATCAAACTCAAGCAGGAAGAGCCACTTGCAGCTGCACCCGCCAGCCCCACCTCGACCCTTGTTGGGGCTGGAAGGCCAGGCCTCCCAAGAAGGCGTGAAGAGGAGCCTGCTAGTTCATACCGAGAGAAGCGCCGAAACCGCGCCCTCCCAAGCTCCCCCTCGTGCCTCCTGAGTGACTGCCGAAAATCCTCTTTTTGTCTCTCCTCCATATCAATCCCCTTGGCCTTGCCTGAAGACTCAAGTCTCCCTCCTTGCTCCTCACAGTGAAGACTTGGGAAGCTAGCTGGCTGGTTTGCTCCTGCTGGCTGCAGGTGGGCGCGCCCCTCTGGTTAGCCCCCAGTGGCCGTGGCTCACAGTCAGCCCCTGAAGGATGGAGATGCTGTTTCCACAGCCACCTTCCAGCTCTGAGGGCCCAGCCCCCTGTCTGCAGCCTCTGGAGCTGAGATTGAGGACTGCAAAGCACTTTTCACCAGCCCCAGCACTGTGGGTTCCAGAGAGCCCATAGCCTGTGGCCCACCCTAGCTCTCCATGCTGCCTGGCCACGGGGGAGCCGCAGCTTAGCAAGTGCCCTGAGGTCATGTGCGCATGGCTGCCTGCGGCCTGAGCGGAGTCCTGTGTGTGTCTGCCACTCGTGGGAGGGGCCACCTGCCCTCTGCTTTTCCTGTGCTCTGCGAGGTTCCCCCAGGACTCTGGCTGCGGATCACCTGGCAGCAGGAAATGTGCTGCTCTACTCTAGTTGAGTCTGCTTTTTCCCTTCCCTTTTAGTGGAAGAAACACTGGTTTGTCCTTGCTGATCAAAGTCTGAGATACTACAGGGATTCGGCGGCTGAGGAGGTGAGTGTCTTGGTTTCCTTCCTAGTTGTGGAGACAGCTGAAGGCGTCCAGCTGCTGCTGCTCTGGGCTCAAGGCCCCTTCTGTCTGTCGACAGGTGCCCAAGTTGCTATCTTGGGTTTCCCGGTCTAGATTTGGTGGGAAGGCTGAGCATAGTGTGACCACCTTTTGATGTTCTCCTGACTGATTCTTCCTGAAACGTTGAGCTGTTTTGAGGCCCTGCTTTAGGCTCCTGGGTGGTGTGTTTCATTGGCTTCTCTTTTCTCTGTTCTTTGAAAAACATTGAAAGATGTCTTATTTTAAAACTCAGGATGAGCAATTTTGTTTTTTCTACAAAAATTTCATGGAGAGTGGAGTCTCTTGAAGGAATGGCAGGCACTAAATCTTGTCCCTTGTCTTTTGGACAAAGATGGGATGTGACAAATGCACTTGGTTGGCCTGGTTAACTGTCTTGATTCCGTGGCTGAAGACCAACCAGAAGGGGCTCTTTTTTCTTCACCAAAAAAAAAAAAAAAAATATCATCTCTTGAGCAATTTGGCAAGTCTGTGTTCCTACCTTTTGCCTTGCATTCCACTCCCGGAATTCTTCAGATATATTTCCACTTAGAGGAAAAGATCTGTGCCCAAGGTTAGTCATTCCTGCACTTTTGTAATAGCAGAAGATTGGCAAGAATCTAAATATCTGTCATTAGGAGGCTGGTTATATATATTTACCTATCGTGAACCTCAGAAAAAGGAAGTTCTTTATGGACTTCAGTGGAAAGATGTGATACAAGGTAGATGAGAGTGGTGTGGGCAGCAGGCCCTTGGTGCTGCCTGACATCAGGGAACACAGGAGCATGTGTGGTTAGTAGTCTGAGCATAGACCAGCCGTTCTCAGAGTGTGGTCTGTGGACCCCTGGAGACCTTTCAGGGGGGCTGGTCTACTCAGAACTCTTGTCATAAAGTTAAGATGCCATTTAAAGTCTCCGTTCTTGAATACTCTAATTCTAAGATTCAAAATCGACAGTGAGCCTGAGTCACTTCTGCTGCATACTGGAGTATGAGGGGTGCCTCATGGGAAAGCACTTGCGCCTTCTGGTGGCTTCTCCCCATGCAGTACTGTCTTTCTCTCTCTCTGCACTGGAGAGAGCAGCTGAGACACAAACTGCTCACTCACTGGGGGTGTTTGGCACCTTCTTAAAAAGGAACTAAGTGAGTCTATTCCTTCAAAGAAAACAACTGACAATTTGTTGCCAGCGATACAATTTGAGCTTTCAAGCGAATTTGGAACTTTGGAAAATGTGTTTTCCCTGTCAACAAACTTGACAGCTTTCCTTTCCTTACAGACCGTCCTGACGACATAGGTGCTAATCCTATCATGTTTTGAGGTTGTGTAATGAAATGTGTCAACTTGTGGAAGATCCACCTAACTTGATGTCTTCCAAATGACCAATACGTAAATTACAAAATCACACACGGGTAAAGGTCCATTCAGAGGACAGTGAAGAACCGTGGATTTTAATATAATAGTATGGAAAGTCCTTTGATAGGATTTCAGATTCCACTTGGCAGTTAACCTTTAAGAAAGTACAACTTTTCAGTGTGTCAATCAAACTGTCATGCCATACACCTTCAACTTATACAGTGATGTATGTCAACTATTCCTCAACAAAACTGGAAAAAAAGAAAGAAATGACTATTAAAATACGTCTCTCTTTTCCAGTCCCTGTATCTATATAAGGTTGGACAGTCTTCATATACGGTTGACCCTTGAACAGACACAGGGGTTAGGGGTGCATCCCCTTGTGCGGTTGAAAACCTGCATATAACTTTTGACTCCCCCAAAACTGAACTAAGAGCCTACTGTTGACGACAAGCTGTACCAACAGCACAGTTAACACGTTTTGCATGTTATATATATATGTTATATATATCATATACTGTATTCTTAGAATAAAGTAAGCTAGAGAAAAGGTCATTAAGAAAATCATAAGGAAGAGAAAATACATTTACAGTACTGTACTACATCAGAAAAAAATCCGTGTATAACTGGACCCACACAATTCAAACCCATATTGTTCAAGGGTCAACCATACTCCATTCAAAACGATATATCGAACAGGATGAATGCAGCATAACAGATGTGAGAATCCAGCTATCCTTGGAAACCAAGCATTTAAAGAAAGATTTGCAAAAATCCATTGCTGACTTTTTAAAATATTTTTTATGAAAAAATAAAATGGTTTATTTGTGTTCTTAAAGGAGCAAACATGTTAATTTTTTTCCTAGTTTATTTCTAATATGCTAAATATCATCAATAGATAAAAGCCATGAAATGAAAACTCTTGGGGATCCTCAATTTTTAAGAAGCTTTATAAGAGAGTCCCAAGATCAGGTTTGAGAACCACTGGCATGGGCTATCTTTGGCAGGATGCACGGGGACATGGCATGGATGCTTCCAGGTAGTATAGGATAGGCAGTATCCTTACTCATCAGTGTATGTGCCCGTTACAAATAAAGCTAACATGGAAATTCGCTTGTCTAGGTGTTGACTTTTACTTTCTCTCTGTAGGCGGCTGACTTGGACGGGGAAATCGACTTGTCTACGTGTTACGATGTCACAGAGTATCCAGTCCAGAGAAACTATGGCTTTCAGATACATGTGAGCCTGGGGTGGAGTTTGGAGACAGGCTTGGTGTGGAGGTGGGCAACACGGGCTTGACCTGCTGGAACGTTTCTCCAAGAACCCGGTGTCTTGGTCCGGGGACACTTGTGGGCAAGCCTGACCGCCCACAGGCTTGGTCGGCACACGTTCTTTGCCGTCAACACTTGTGCCTTGACCTCTGCCTTCCTCTGTCCCTAGCACCTCATCCCAACCCCAGTTTGTGATCTGAACAAAGAATTAGGCATTAGCATCTTTCTTCTCAATACCATTTAGAAGCTTTCTGTTACTGAAGGTTCTTTCCTTTTTCTTCTTTTTTAAATGCTGGCATTTGGGAAGAACATGGGATATGGGAAATAAGAATAGAAGTGTTAAGCCTTTTAAACCTAAATACTAGGTTTTTACTCATTTATTCTTCATTTGGACATTTATTTATCCACTTATAAGTCTTTTTCCCCACAGTCTTGTGAGGGACTCAGGCAAGCAAGGCACTGCCCCCCCCCCCAAAAAAGAATCTGGAGAAATGAAATGGTTCTCCTGGGCCATTTCATTAAAGCTGGTGGCTCAAGGGCTACCTGGAGGCAGCCAGGCTCAAGGTTAGGGCACAGTCCTCAATTGCAAGATCAAGGGGTACCCAAAACTGCCCTCAGGCTCCAGAATTAGCCAGAGTGACTCACAGAACACAGGAAAGCACTATACTTAACAATTGTAGTTTCCTTGTAGCAGAAGGATACAAATCAGAACAAGGCAGAGGAAGAGACATGGAGAACTCTACTGGGATGGCCCTAAGCGCAAACCTTCCATGTCCTTGGGGATGCCTTCCCTCTTGGGTGATGTGTGGCGGTACCCAGAGCTTCCAGTCCAGGAAGCTCACCCGAGTCAGTGGCCAGAGCTTTTACCGAAGCTTCGTGACTGTTGTTGACTTACTGTCCATGTAGTCGAATGCAGTTTCCAACCCTTTCCCCAGAGCTCGGCTGATTTCACATGTCACAAAGTCCCAACCCTCTCACTTCATGGCTGGTCTTTCTGGAGTGGCCAGCCCCCACCCTGAATAACAAGGATTCACAGGTTACTTCCCAGAAGCTGGGACAAAGGCCAGACCTCTCTTTGGGCAAAGCTAATTCTTTCCTCACAAGAGCCCGGGAGCACGTGCTAATGAGCAGCCGGACAGAGCTGCCACCTGGGACTCGGTTTCTCACTGGGAGCCAGAACTCCACTTGGGTTGCCTTTTTTTTTTTTTTTTTTTTAAAGACTCCATTTATTTATTTGACAGAGAGAGACACAGCGAGAGAGGGAACACAAGCGGGGAGTGGGAGAGGGAGAAGCAGGCCCCCCGCCAAGCAGGGAACCCGATGCGGGGCTCCATCCCAGGACTCTGGGATCATGACCTGAGCCGAAGGCAGATGCTTAACGAGTGAGCCACCCAGGCACCGCTCCACTTGGGTTGCCTTTAACGGGGTCTTTCCTTTGGGTCTTTGGGTCCAGAAACTCAGTTTTATTTCTGGACTCAAGAGTAGATCAGGCACCTTGGGACTAACTTGTATTAACCAAACCCAGAGGAGACCAAGGTTCAGACCCACAGGCTGGTGAGTTTATTACAAGGAGAAATCCAGGCGGCAGCCCCCCAGGCTACTGGTCATGGCATTGCCTGCATGCAGGGCAACTGCGTGGACACCAAGGCCTGGTTGGAGGTTGCAATGATGGCCCGGCATCAGGGCCAGGGCGTGAGCTGGTGGATCTTGGTGGCCCAGGCTGCCCTGCTGTGATGCTCTTTGGCCCTTGTCCCTGCGGGAGGAATAGACGTGCTCGGTAAGCCAGGATGTCAGACAGCATGGTGAATTCTGGCTTTCTGGGCCCATGCTGACCCCCCCCCCACCCTCACCCCTACTTTTCCATTTTAAAGAGCAGGTCTCTGTGGGTAGGTCATCCCGGGGGTAAGGTGTTTTATCATAAGTCAGCACCCATCACTGGGCTTGTTACAACTTCATTGTTCTAGGGCTGCCTTCTACGTGATGAGGACGTGGCCTGAACCGCGCAGGGGCCAGTCTCTATCTGAGAACTCACCTGCTCTCCCCATCGCAGACGAGGTCATTTCTGAGTCCCCTGTGTTCCCTAGCGGATTTCAGCTGTCAGTCAGAACCCTCTTCACTTTACCCTAGGCGGGGCATTGTGAGCTTAGCTTCTTCTGATGCTTTTCCATGAGCCCCATGGACTCAGAGTTCTAAGCCAGGGGAGATTGCTTCCAGTGTGGGAGAGAGGGTCCCAGGAGGGGCCCAGCCTAGACACTAAGGAGCTTTAGGATCTTGCGAGGCAGGGCTGGAGGGCTGAGTTCGCCGTGTTCTTGCCTGGCCACCAGACCTAGTGGCACCTACAAGGTAGCTGAGTGCAGAAGCCAGGTGAGGGTGGCACCGTGGGAGCCCTGCATGCCGGGTCAGGAGTCAATCTTGTCCTGAGGTTGGGGGAAGCCCTGGAATGTGTTAGAAGACACTGAGGCAGTTGTGCCTTAGTATAAAGACACATCCAGCAGGACATGCAGCGCACTTAGGAGGGGAAGGTAGAGGCAGAAGGCCAGACGGTGAGAGGCAAAGAAAGTGGTGGGAAGGGCCATGGTGGAAGAGCAGCTGGGCTGTGGCTCTGGCCAGGGGAAGGCCGAGGCAGGGGTAAGGGGCTGCACCCCACAGCACAGTGAGCCTTGTGCTGAAGGCAGGCGGCAGAGGCGGCTTCGCAGGAGGGGAGCTTCTGGAGCTCTGGCCCGTGCTGCGTTTGAGGCCTCCCTAAGAACATGAGACAGGCAGCCATGAGCGTGCACCTGGTTGGGAAAGAGCTGTTTGCAGGTGAGAGATGAGCTTGTGGGAGAGAATGTCCAGATTGCTGAGGTCAGACTGCAGAAACCCCACACTGGAGTGGGAGGAAGCTGAGGAGCCAGGGATGCCGAGGAGCTGGTCCCAGGGCACGAGGGGCCGGTGCTCCAGAGAGCCCTGAGGCAGCAGCCCTGCACTTGGCTTGCACGGAGGGGAAAGTGGTGAAGGAGAGATGAGCTGGGCCGTGGGCTGTTGGCTGTCTGGACTGGGGGTGCGGGCGGTGGCCTGAGGTGGAGGATGAGGTCAGGTCCAAGCTGCGCTTTGCAGCATGCTAAGCCAGCCAGTGGTCTCTTACATGTTGGCCCCTGGCTCTGCCAGTGTCCGTCCCAAAACCATCTTGGTGACTTCATCTTCCCATCAGCTGACTAGCTGACGTGTCTCGCAGACCCATTGGTCAGTAGCCTGAGCAGCCTAGGGAACGGTACTGACACCCTCACTTCTGTGACACGGGAGCCTGTGGTGCAGGAACAGGGAGGTGGCCTCTGGGAGACCACCACCTGCATTTCATGCCCCTCTTGTCTTGGGTGCTGCCTGTCCGCATGGCTCAGTGACACAAGGGTTGCAGCCCAGAGGCCTCTCCGCTCGCTGGCCCTGCTGCCCGCTCTCAGCCCCTGTCTGGCTCCCCTTCCCTCCTGTCCGCCTTCTATCCCCACATGGTGCAACTCCTCTCCCTCAGCCACCACCAGCGTATTCCTCCATCTTGACTCCTGTCCCACCAGGTCACCCAGGTCAGGGGCGTGCAGTCCTGGGATTGTGCTAAAAGCACCCCCCTCCGCTCCCATATCCTATCAGTGAGGACTGCATACCACCTCCTTTACCGCCCCAGAACCTCCCTCTTCTCTGTCACCATGCTAAATCTAACTATGACTGCCCTGGCGGCAGCCCAGCAGGTCTCCCTGCCTTTTCTCAGCCCGACAGATGCGGCCCCCGTAGGGCCAAGCCTGCCCGCCAAGTCCCGTGCCTTCCACTCTCCTCCCCATCACCCTGTGCACCTCATGTGCCTGGCTGCATGCCGCTGGGCCTGGGACGGTGCTGTCCCCAGCCTGGGGACCCCTTCCCACTGCTCCCCACACACTGGCTTTGCTCTCGGGTCGTGCTCTCTCCTTCCCCCTAGTCTGTGAGCCCCTGAAAGAGCAGGGCGAGCCATCCGGGGACCAGGGACGTTGTAGGCACACAGGAAACAGAGGAGGATGGCTGAGTCAGCCACAAAAGCAGATTTGCTTTTTCCTTTGCTCTCCGACTTTTCTTCGAGGGGGGCACACACAGTGCTCCTAGGACAGCCACCTACCTGGCTGCAGTTCTCCCTACAGGATGTCCTTTGGGGGCAGGGAGGGGACAGTCCCTGATGACAGCTTGTCTTTTGTGCAGACGAAGGAGGGCGAATTCACTCTTTCTGCTATGACATCTGGAATCCGGCGGAATTGGATCCAGACCATCATGAAACACGTCCACCCAAGTTCTGCTCCAGACGTGACGAGGTAAGAGAGCCGGAGTGCCTGCGGGAGCCACCTCCCCTGCCAGCCACCGCCTCACTCCTTCATGGGTCTCTGGTTCTTCTCTCCCGGCACGGCCCTCTTCCTTTCCTCCTTTGTTCCATCGCCGGCTGGCCGCGTCAAGTCTCCCTCCGGCATCCTGGTTTTTCTGCCTCACGTGACCTCTTCCTCCTTTAAGCCTGGCCAGTGGGGCCATGTGTGCAAGGAGCATTTGCGCCCCTGTGGGGACTGAACTTAGTGGGAGAAGCCCCTCTAGCCCGGGCGCTGGGCCTTGCTGGTGGCGGGGTAAGGGCAGCCCTGGATGCCGCCTTCACGGGCCGCCAGGACGTGTCTTTTTCTTGGTCTTTTTGCCCCACGCCTCCATCTGTTGGATTTCTGTGCAACCAGGATAAACTTCTTTGAGACTTGGTGCTAGAACTGGGTTGGAAATCTTGTTCTCCCCTCACGTTGAGTCTCTGTGGTTTGTACACCTCATGATGTGCCACATGCCTTCCTCCTCCTGCCCTGAAGGTGAGAAACCCGCTATTTTCAGTTCAAGAGAAAGAGAAGACTGTGGTGCATGGGGCTGGTTCCACGATGCCCACAACTCTGAAGTCCTCAACTGAAGGCTTCAGAGCCTTCACCCGTTCTGAGAACCCGTTTACACTTTTCAGGTCATGTACTTTGCATGATTCTTCAAGTGTCTTTCTTATGTTGTTGGTCACACCTGGGGGTGCATCCCAGGGCCCACTGTGTGCCCCTCAGCGGCCTGGGGCAGCTGTGGCCACGCCAGATCTTTGTCAAGGGCTTGCCTGCCTCCTAGTGACACTGCACCTCTTTGAGCAAGAAGGTAGGAACAGAATCTCCTCTCCTGTGTGTGTTGACATTGTTTGTTCATTCCTTCATTTATTAAGTGAACAGAATATTTGGTGGTTGTTCCTGTCAGTAAGACCAGGTGTTGGTGGCCAGGACAAGTTCTCAAGTGTCCTGTTAGGAGAGCTTATCTGTTAGTGGAGTGCGTCCTGCCCACGGAGATGAATGGCGCGCTCTCGTCCTCATGGGGCAGCCTCAGTGGCTGTCTTCGGATCCCTGGAGCAGAGACCAGGCAGGAGCAGAGAGACCAAAGCTTTGTAAGGCCAACCTTGAGGATGCCCCCCCTAGCAAAGCAAGAAAGGCAGCTCGGGGTTCTCTGGCAGGGCTGCTGCCACCGTGGCATGGATGGTGGACATGAGGGGACCTGGGGTCCTGTCCTGGCCGCCAGCCCTCCGCTGCCTGCTGTGTCCTGGCCGGCCCCAGCTGCTCCACGAGGGCCTGCCACGAGGGCCTGGCCCTTTGCAGGGATTGAGGGGCCCAGCTGGAGGAAATCAGCTTGGGATGTCGCAGGGCCAGCATGTGGCGTTGGCCTCAGAACAGGAGTGGAGGACAATATGCACATGCACGTATGTCCCGGGGTGACCTTCACGGTTCCCTGCCGCACGCAGACATTGGGCCCGTGCGGGGACTGCCGGCCCACAGGGACCAGGTCTTTCGTTTGTGTCAGATGGTTGGCTTAGTGATTGTCTTCCTGACTAGAATTTACTTCAGAATTAGTGTATCTCAAACTTAGGGGCTCCTCACTCTCCCCCAGTTTGTCTTCAGCCTTTCTGCTGGTTTCATTTGGGCTTTTAGAGTGTGAGGAAAATTTGGACTTTTTTAGTGCATACAAGGCCAAGTCAAATACAAAGGTCAGAGGGCAGGTTTGAGCAATGCATCGTAGTCCCCCTGCGTCGGTGGTGGGGAGTTGCAGGGGCTTCCTGCCTGGGGCTGCAGGGACTCCCTGTCACGGAGCCGGGGCTGCTGCCCCCAGCTCTCCGTGTGGTCGTATGGGGTCAGCTCTCAGTTCGGTGGCATTGGAAGATCTCTTCTGGAGAACTTTTTTTCAGCTGCGCATGTGGTCTTAAACCGGCAGCTTGCGGGTCCCACCACCCGGAAGCACTTGAGACACATGACCCAGAGCATGATGATGACCATGTTTTCTTTCCCGTGGGTGCCTCTTTCCCAGGCTCCCTTCTCTTTAACTCCCATTTAAAGACCAGCGCTCCCTGGGGCTCCTGTGTGGCTCAGCTGGTTAAGCGTCCAGCTCTTGATTTTCAGCTCAGGTCTTAATTTCAAGGTCATGAGTTCAAGCCCCGCGTTGGGCTCCACCCTAGGCATGGAGCCTATTTTAAAAAAAAAAAGAAAGAAAATTAAAGACAGGTGTCCCCAGCCCACCACCCCACGGCACCACCCTCGCTGGCCCTCGAGACCCTGGGTGGCTCCCAGCTCTGTTCTGCCGGCTTGGGCAGGACCAGAGGCTACTCTGCTCCAGCCAGGGGCCTCAAACCACAATTGATGCTCCCACCTCACCCCTGCTCAGGGGGTATCCTCTTTGGGAATCTTTGCTTTGGGGCAGACTGGACAAAGGCACGGACTCCTTACTGGGCAAGGAGAGGTGCCCTTGAATCCGCTCCCTACTCACCTGCATGGGGTGGGCCACTACATGGTGCAGGCACATAGGTGCCACCTGGGCCGTTTCTCTCACCAGGGCACAGTGGTCTCAGGCCTTTCATGCTGTGATCCATCTGTCACACCAGCCACCAGAGTGGTTTTCCTAAAATGCAGACCTGATTGGGTTATTTACCACTTGTTAAAAAACCCTCGAGCCTTTGGGGAGAAGTGGTTGGTCTCATTCATTCTGTCAGCACTGGCCGGTGCACGCACGCCACAGGTTTGGCCTCCCTCACGATCTCCTTTAGATGGTGGCCATGCCCGGTGCAGCCTGTTGGAGACTCCGTCATGACCCTCTCCGACAGCGTCTCTGCCGGGTTCCTCTGAGGTCCGAGACTGGGAACTCTGAGCCATCTGTGGCTCTTCCTTTCTTGTCCCCACTCAGACCGGTTTAGGTTCCCCCTGTGTAGGGGACACAGGTAAAGGCAAAGTGTCCTCTCCTCCCCTCTCCTGTGGGAACCATAGCCGCATAGAAAGAGAAAGTGGTGGAGCTGGGCACCCTTCCAGGGCAGGTGGCTATCACCAGGAGCTGCACCTCACAGGCTTCTCTGCCCCTTGCCCCCAGCTCACTGCCAGAGGAAAAGAACCGGAGCAGCTCCTCCTTTGAGACCTGCCCGAGACCAAGTGAGAAGCCAGAGGCGGAGCGTGGAGAGCCAGACCCCGAGCAGAAGAGGAGCCGGGCTCGGGAGCGGAGGCGGGAGGGCCGCTCTAAGACCTTTGACTGGGCTGAGTTCCGCCCCATCCAGCAGGCCCTGGCTCAGGAGAGGGCCAGCGCCACGGGGGCTTCTGACGCCCACCCCGAGGCTGAGGCCGGCGAGCTGGAGCGGGAGCGTGCGCGGCGGCGGGAAGAGCGCCGTAAGCGCTTCGGGATGCTCGATGCCACAGATGGGCCGGCCGCTGACGACACGGCCCTGCGGATGGAGGTTGACCGCAGCCCGGGGCTGCCTGTGACTGCCGACCTCAAGACACAGAACGTCCACGTGGAGATCGAGCAGCGGTGGCATCAGGTGGAGACCACTCCTCTCCGGGAAGAAAAGCAAGTGCCCATTGCCCCCCTGCACCTGTCCTCCTCCGAGGATGGAAGTGACCGGCTCTCCGCTCACGAGCTGACCTCTCTGCTGGAGAAGGAGGTAATGGGCAGACAGGTGGTGGGGTTCTGTGCAGCAACCTTCCCCAGCACCCGCTGTACCTGGTGGTGGCCTGAGTGGTTCAGCCTCCTAATACTGAGGAACATGTGGTCCAGACTGCTCAAGGAGACAGACACACAGGTTCTTAGAGTACAGTGCAGGCACAAGAGGCATGGGAGGGTGCCACGTCATGGAGGGTGGCAGGGAGGGGGCACCAGACCTTTCCAGAAGGAAAAGGTGTTTGCCATGCAGTGGGGACACTGTCATATAGAGCCGGGGATGGCTAGAGACTAGGCCAGTGGGATGCAGGACCCAGGTGGGGACTTTGTCCTACCCTGTTACAGGCATGAACTAGAGATTTGAGGCAGGAGAGGGGCATGAGCAGAGTTAGGTTTCCGGATGCGGTGGGCGGCCCTGGGTCAAAGGAGCCAAAGCTTGGAGGCAGAAATGAGCTCCAAGGCTTTTGCAGCAACCCAGTAACCATTGATGGGATCTGAGGGGGGTGCAGGTCAGGCAGCAGTAGGCAGAGGCTGGATCGTGGATGTTGAGGAATATTCAAGATGTGAAACAGAGGCCCTGTTGCGGGGGTGGGGGATGTGAACCTGGCAGGCTGGGCAGACGATTGCTGTCATGCCACTGACCTGAATAATTCATTGAGCACCAGAGTGGGCCCCTGTGGGGATGCAGAGATAAGTGGGCCAGGCCCTGCATTTGTAACGTATCCAGAAATCAAATCTGGGAAACTTGGTAGTGGATTTGTAAATCTGAAATGTGAGTTTCCTGGACGGGGAGGTACAGCATTATACTGGCCTTTTAGGAACACTCAGCAGTATGTTTCAAATGTGTTCTTTATAGAAGTAGCTAGTGAAAGCAGAAGAATGGCCACGTTGGCCTGCCCTCATTTATCTTTTTCCTGTTAAATTTATGAGGCTGACATTTATCATTAACGCCAGCACTCTCATTTTTTCCCATTTCTACACATATTAATATAATAATGAAGGCAAGATGCAATCAGAGTTCAAACTCAACATTGCTCTAAAGTGTCAACGGGCCTGCTGGCCCACAGGTCACACGTTGGACCATGAATCTGTCAGAGACAGCAGAGTGTGAAAGCTAGGCGTCTCGGTGCCGCCCCCAGCGGAGCCTGGCTGCACTCTGCCCCCCGGCGGGGCGGCCCCCACAAGCCAGCATCCAGTAGGCACCTGAGGGAGGCTTCAGGGAAGGGGTGCATGGATGGATGACTCAATTCAAAGCCATTGAAAGCAAGAAGAGTGTGAAGTAGCTTGTTTGCTTTACCCACCTCATGGAACCCTTCCTGCAAACAGAATTTCATGTGGAATCCATTATATAAAAGTGGTCAAAAGGAGCTGTTTCAGCGGAAGCTGCAGCAGGGCCTGGAGTGAGGCCTGCCCCAGGGCAGCACTGGCCAATTTGACCACACTGAGGAAACCGGAAGGACCCAGCAGGGTGGTCTTCTTCTGACACAGGCTTTTACAAAGCACCCATTTCCTGGTGGGGTCTGCTCATCACATCCTTACGGGCATGTGGGAATTATGCGGGTGCCCTGGGTGACAAGTGCGCTGCTGTTGTATATGGCTTGAGCCGGAACCTTCAGTTCTAGATGCTGCAGAGAAAGACCAGCAGATCAGCACGCACACCGCGAAGTGTGGCCACGTGGAAGGCCAGCCTGGGAGTCTGTGTCTCTGGCCCGGCCGGAGCCAGAGACACCGCGGGGGCCCGTGCTGTGCTGCCGCTTCTAGTCCTCGCCGTCGCTTTGCTTAAAAACGTGTGTCTCTTTGCCCACAGTTGGAGCAGAGCCAGAAGGAGGCCTCGGACCTTCTGGAGCAGAACCGGCTCCTGCAGGACCAGCTGAGGGTGGCTCTGGGCCGGGAACAGAGCGCCCGGGAGGGCTACGTGCTGCAGGTAGGGCTGAGGGGCTGCCGCGGCCCCTTTTGGTTGGGGCTTCAGCGTGAGGACCCAGGCAGGCTAGGAATGTGCAAAACCTGGCTGAGCTGCCCCTGACAGGCCGCCCCCCCACCCCCACCCCGGCTCCTCTGCCACAGCATCAGGGTTCACAGGCTTGTGGGTCCTCTGTAGCTTCGCCCTCGTGTGACGGTGTGGAGAATTTGCCTGAAACCTCGGTCTCTAAGGGTTTTTCTTTGTTTCGTAATGAAATCATCCCGATCGTCTTTCCTCTTGGCTCTCAGAGTATGCAGTATATATTTATTATAAATGTCACATGTGTGCCTGTGGTTTCTCTGGGCTTTCTCACAGTTTTTAGGTCCGTTTCACCAACTGGAGAAACTGAGTAACAGCAGCCAGGTGCCTCCTTACCACCACAGTAGAGCTAGAATGGTTCTGCATCCGTGACCTTGTGTGTGCCACACCTGCAGGGCCACCTGGGGCCATTAGCGCTGGCCTAGTGGCCCCTCTTCTTCTTTTCTGCCTAGGCTGAAGTGCCCGGGCAAAGTATGGCCGCCCGGCCATCAGCCCACTCTCCCAGCAGCCTAATGGGAAGGGCAGCAGCCTGAGTCCTGAGCTGAGACCCAAACCCATATGCCTTCCACCAGGGAGCTCCGTGCCCACATGCCGACCAGCAGGCAGCGGGCACTGCCCTGGTGTCTGGCCAGGGGGAGCCCATTGTCCTGTAGCATTCCAGGCCCCATCTGACTTCTGGGATACAAAACAACACACTCCTGCCCCCATCATGCTGATATGCTTGTGGGGAGAGCTGTTGGATGGAGCAGTGCTGGGGAAATGCAGAATGGGTTGATGGAATGGGGAACGTGAGCTCCCAGCCAAGGCTGAGGATACAGCACTCCAGTCAGGGTCCTGCCACTGACCGGTAGAAGCCAGTGCCATGCCCTGCAACCTCAGCCTCCTTGACTGTGTAGACTTAGAACTGGACCCCAAGGACCTTTCCAGCTCTCAGTGACCCAGGGTCTCTGTGATAAGTGTGTGTGTCAATGTTTCCAGACCACAGCACCCTGGCCACCTTGGGCCAAGTCATCCCAGGCAGCACATGAGCCTCTGGGCAGAGTTTACCTTCCCTCCTATCTCCGTGCCGTTTTTTTGTTGCGTGTTCCCTGTCTTCTCTTTCTCCCCCGGCTTTAACCGTGGCCCTGGGCGCCTCATGTGCCCTGGTCCTCCCCGGCCCCTTCAGCCAAGGAATGGCCATGGTGGGCATCCCTCTTTTCCTATATGTGCTTCCTCGGTCATTTTGTGCAGACTTTCCAGGTTTGGGGAGATTTTTAAACCTGCACCAATTCACTTCACATCAGGTGGTAAAGATCCTAGCAGCAGATTTTGCACATTGCTAACCTAAGAGCCTGCCTCTGTGTCTAACCTAGATGATTGCATGAGCCTGCACCAAAGCCCCTGGCAACGCTGGGCAGAGCTGGTGTCTTGAAACCTTCCCACTAGTTCTAACAACGGGTGACTTTTAACCTCCCTTTGTGCTTTGAAAATGCTTATAACCAAGTCATTCTGAATGAGCGAGGGGCCTTTGGGGTTCAGGGTCAGGAGGAGAGCCATTCAGGGTGGGCACTGCACCGGTGGTGCTGGGAGGAGCTTCTTGCATGGTTTGGAAGTCGAGCGTGGAGTGTAACTTTAACATAACTGAGTGTCACATCTGTGGCTTCCCTGACAGCAGATCAGACCTGGAGCAAGCCACAGGCAGGCCAAATTCTTAGGCTGGGCTCTTCTCACTCTTGTTCATGTTGTTTTCGCCCCTGCATTAATTAGTTCTGTCTATTCTGCATGCCTTTCAGTTTGGGGAGTTTTGTTTCATTTGTGTTTTGTTTCTTGCACGCTTCACTCTCTTATTTTGAATTCCACGAAGGTTTGTTTGTTTTGTGGATTATCATGTTTTACTCCATGGTTTCCGTTTTCCCCTCGTTTTGTCTTCTTGCAGGTAGAGGTTAGTTCTTCCTGTTACTGTAGAGCACGGGCTCCACTTCCCAAAGGAGATGTTTCAGATGTCATCTCACTGGCATCCCGAGCAGTTGAGCAGTTGCCTCCCTTCCTTCTCTCCCCGTCCTAGAAGGAAGTGGCACCACCACCCGCACCCCACTGCGTCCCGGCTTTGTTAGGGTTTGTTGCCTAGAGCCGTCTACCTTTTGTTTTGCAAAACAGACAACAGATCCCGAAGCTCTGCTCCTCCCCCTGTCCTCCTTCCCAGCGTTCTCCTGTCCTCCAGTCTTCGTTTGCTCATCAGTGTGCTCCATTATTCAGTTCTGTTTGGTTTAGTTCTTCTAGAAGCTGCTTGGTTAGAGCTGTTTGATGTTACTGTCCATGTGTTCTCTTTACCTAGAAGCAGCTACTTGCCAAAAAAAAGTTAAGATGATTTGTTGGATTTTTTAATTGAAAAAAAAAATTATGCCAAGGATAAAAGGCATACCCACCAAGGAGCTTTTCTGTGGTTGACCCTGGCCAGAGGTGTGACACTCAGAACTGGGAGGCCCGAGTGGTACTAACCAGTATTTAATCGGTTTTTTTAAGACTGAAGTGGCCACTTCCCCATCCGGTGCCTGGCAGAGGCTCCATAGAGTCAACCAGGATCTGCAAAGCGAGCTGGAGGCCCAGTGCCAGCGCCAGGAGCTGGTCACGCAGCAGATCCAGTCCCTGAAGCGCAGCTACGGGGAGGCCAAGGACGCGATCCGGCACCATGAGGCCGAGATCCGGAGCCTCCAGGCGAGGCTCAGCAATGCCGCTGCCGAGCTCGCCATCAAGGAGCAGGCGCTGGCCAAGCTCAAGGGTGACCTGAAGCTGGAGAAGGACAAGGTCCGTGAGCAGCTGGAGGAGTGGCAGCACAGCGAGGCCGCGCTGAGCAGTCAGCTGCAGGCCAGCGAGCAGAAGCTCAAGAGCGCCGAGGCCCTGCTGCTGGAGAAGACGCAGGAGCTGCGGGACCTGGAGACACAGCAGGCGCTGCAGAGGGACCGGCAGAAGGAGGTACAGAGGCTGCAGGAGCGCATCGCCGACCTCAGCCAGCAGCTTGGTGCCAGCGAGCAGGCCCAGAGGCTGATGGAGGAGAAGCTGCAGAGGAACTATGAGCTGCTGCTGGAGAGCTGCGAGAAGGAGAAGCAGGTGCTGCTGCAGAACCTGAAGGAGGTGGAAGACAAGGCCAGCGCCTATGAGGACCAGCTCCAGGACCACGAGCAGCAGATGGAGGTCCTCCAGAAGGAGAAGTTGAGCGCCAAGTTCGAGGGCAGCGAGGTAGTACACCAGCTGGAGGAGCAGCTGGAGATGAAGGAGGCCAGCATCCAGAAGCTGGCTGAGCACGTCCAGAGCCTCAGAGACGAGCGGGACCTGATCAGGCAGCGGTTCCAGGAGCTGATGGATCGTGTCGCCCTGTCTGACGGGGACGTTGCTGAGCTTCAGGAGAAGCTGAGGGGAAGGGAGGCCGACTACCAGAGCCTAGAACACTCCTACAGGAGGGTGGCTGGCCAGCTCCAGAGCATGCACATGCTCCTGAAGGAAAAGGAGGAAGAGCTGAAGCACATCAAGGAGATGCACGAGAAAGTTCTGGAAAAGAAAGATCAAGACCTCAATGAGGCTTTGGTTAAAATGGTTGCCTTGGGGAGCAGCTTAGAGGAAACAGAAATGAAGCTCCAGGCAAAGGAAGAGATTTTAAGGAAATTTGTAAAGGAGTCTTCAGAGGACGCAGAGGAGGAGCCGCGGAGCGGCCCAGAAGAGGCGGAGGACGGCACCGTGCCGTCGGGCCCGCAGCTCCAAGCTGCCGGCACACCCCCGGCCTTCCCACATCCCAGGCTCGAGGATGAGGCCCCGGGGGCAGCCCTGGGGGAAGCGCGAGGCGACAGCAGCCCCAAGAGAGAAGACAGTGTGGGCTCTCTGAGGTCGGAGGTGCCGGACAGGGAGGGGCACCTTCAGAGCACGGCAAAACCTGACCAGGGTGTCCCTGGTGTCAAAAGGCAAAGAATCCGGTTCTCCACGATTCAGTGCCAAAAATACACGCACCCTGATGGATGCGAGAAGACCTGGACCAGCAGCACATCCTCCGACACCAGCCAGGACCGGTCGCCCTCAGAGGAGAGCATGTCATCAGAGGCCACCCCCAGCTCTCTCCCTGCCACCAGTGACTCCGACACCTATCTCTCCATAATCCACTCCCTGGAGACGAAGCTCTACATCACGGAGGAGAAGCTCAAAGACGTGACGGTGAAGCTGGAGAGCCAGCAGGGCCAGAGCCAGGAGGCCCTGCTGGTGCTGCACCAGCAGTGGGCCGGCACCGAGGCGCGGCTCCGCGAGCAGCTCCGCGCCAGCCTGCTGCAGGTCGGAGCGCTCGCCTCCCAGCTGGAGCAGGAGAGACAGGGGAGGGCGAAGATCACCGAAAAGCACGTCGGGGAGCTCGGCGACTTCCAGGTGAAAAACAGTCAGGCTCTGGCTTGCTTGGAAAACTGCCGAGAGCAGCTGTGCTCTCTGCAAGCGGCCGGCCCGGAGGAAGCGCGGGGCGCAGGCGTGGGCCCCCTGGCCAGCGTGGAGGGCGCTCTAGCCAGCACTGTCCAGGCCCTGTGCCACTGGCCCGCTCCCACAGACGGCGCGGCCCGGCCTCAGCCAGAGGAAGCACATTTCGTGGAGCTCGGGAAGGCGAGCTCACGGCCGCTGCCCCGGCCCGAACTGACCGAGCAGGAGCAGCTGAAACTCCTCTCCGATCAAATAGCTCTGGAAGCCTCACTGATAAACCAGATAGCAGACTCTCTAAAAAACACAACATCTGATATCTCGCGCGTTCTGCATGAGATTTCTCAGTCGGGAAAGTTGCCCCTGGAATCTGAAAGTGCTGCTCTCTGCCCCGGGGACCCGGCAGACACCTGGGCTAAGAAGGTGCTGGTGGATGGCGAATTCTGGAGCCAGGTTGAGTCCCTAAGTAAGCACCTGGGAACTCTGGGCGGAGAGGCAGCCAGCGCATCGGGAGGTGGGCAGCAGAGCGTCCCCGAGGCCCTGGTCCCTGCCCTGGCAGACGCCACGTGGGTCAGGGCAGAGCTCAGCTTCGCACTGCAGTCGGCGAGGGAGTCCTTCCACCAGAGGCTGCAGAGCATCCAGGAGACCCTCCGGGGGACCCAGCTGGCCCTGCGGCAGCACAAGCGTGTGCTGGGGGACATCCTGGGAGCCTACCGAACCCCCGACTTCGAGAGAGTGATGCAGCAGGTCTCAGAAGCCCTCAGGCTTCCCGCAGATGTTGAAGACGGCGGCATGCAGGCGTCCTGGGACCTGAGCCCGTTAGGAGAAGTGCTCAGTCATCAGGAAGCAGCCGGCTCCCGGGAGCCCTTCTACGTGTCCATGTCTGACCAGAGCTCTGGGGCCCTTGTCGCTATTCAGGAAGAACTCGCCCTGCAGCTTAAAGATAAGGCCAGCCTCCTAGGGGAGATATCTGCCGCGTTAACCTCGCTTCCCCCTGTGGAGTCAGTGAGAGATTGTCAGAAGCTTCTCCAGGCATCCCAGAACCTCTCCTATGATACTTCCCTGGGAGGCCTCGGTCAGTATTCTTCGTTATTAGTTCAGGATGCAATCATTCAGGCTCAGGTGTGTTATGCAGCCTGCAAAATCCGGCTGGAGTACGAAAAGGAGCTCCGGTGCTACAAGGAGTCCTGGCAGGGTGGGGGAGCCTCCTGTCAGGAGCACAAGCGAGCAGTTGGGGCCCTGAGGGAGGAGTACGAGGAGCTTCTCCGGAAGCAAAAGAGCGAGTACCTGGAAGTGATTGCCATTGTTGAGAGGGAAAACGCTGAGCTCAAGGCCAAGGTCACCCAGCTGGACCATCAGCAGAGGTGTCTGGAAGAAGTGGAGAGCAAGCACAGTGAGAACATGTTCGCCCTGCAAGGGAGGTACGAGGAACAGATCAGGTGTGTGGTGGAGCAGCTGAACAGAGCAGGGGACACGCTGCAGGCCGAGCACAGCAGGGTCCTGAGCCAGCTGGATGCCTCGGTCAGAGACCGGCAGGACATGGAGCGGCACCACGTGGAGCAGATGCAGAGCCTGGAGGACAAGTTCCAGCTCAAGATCAAAGAGCTGCAGACCATCCACGAGGAGGAGCTGAGGACCTTGCAGGAGCACTACTCACAGAGCTTGCAGTGCCTGCAGGAGGCCCTGCACCACTACCAGCGGCAGCTCCCCGAAGCCCTGCCAGCTCCCAGCCCCCCGGGCAGCCCCCACCGGTCCACCTCCTCCAGCTGGCCCGCCAGCCAGCCCCGGGATGCCGTGCAGGCCGCCAAGGGAGAGGCCGACTCCATGACAGGGCTGAGAGAGCGCATCCAGGAGCTGGAGGCCCAGATGGACATCATGCGGGAGGAGCTGGAGCACAAGGGCCTGGAGGGCAACGCGGCCACGCTGCGGGAGAAGTACCAGAAAGACTTCGAGAACCTTAAGGTTCTGAAGCATCATTTTAATTTTCAAGGCAGTGGAGGGGCAGGTGTTCCTCTGCTGGGGGCGGGGGGGCGGGCAGCGTCTGGTACGCAGGGCTCTCAGGTGGAGCTGAGACACGGTTCTTGGCTCTGAGTTACTGTCCAAGCAGAGCCAGGTTGATACTCTGTCCTTCCCCTGACTCCTCACGGGCGTGGTGTGGTCTCAGAGCAGGGCCTGGCTGAGGGTCTAGCCTCCTGTTCAACATCCACCCCACCCCCGGGGAGGACTGGCAGAAGGAGAACAGGAGCACCATGAGAGAGGGAGCATGGCTCCCCTCATCACCTCTCTGCCTGGTTCTTCCCAGTGCTCCCACCAGGGGAAGCCTTTGCTGCCCCCGTCCCAGCCTCGCCCTCTCTTCCATCCCCACAGAACCCACTCCAGGCCAGTACAGATGCAAACCTGAGGAGGAGAACCCAGGAGAGACGGGCCAGAGGCTCCCGTAGAGGGCTATCTCCTGAATGCCCTAAGGGAGCAGATTTGGGGTTCCCAAAAGATGGGGATATTTACAAGACAGTGTCGAGGGTCACTCTCCTGTCCAACTCCCTGTGGGGAACTGGCATTTAATAGGCACTCTGTGGAAGAAGGGCTTTTCTACTGAACACACCTCTCAGCCACTGGTGCTCCTTCTCTGGGGGCTATGAGAAATGACCTGACCCCCGCACCCCCACCCCGTTTCGCACTCTGCCTCATTAGGCAGAATACCCGGGCCCTGTCATGTAAAGGTGACATTCCCAGGCTTCTTGGGGCCTTGGGCTGTGTGGGCCGGTCCAGGTTCTCACCCACCCCCGTTATAGCTGGACATGCCTGCCTACATGCGTGCAGCATGGCTGCCCAGCACCTTACCTAAGCTTCTCAGCATTCTGTCCCTGAGCCTCGCACCATCCCTTGGAGCTGCACGCAGTAAGTGGCCGGGCTCCTCGAAAGCCCTCCATCCCCAGTCAGGCCCCTGCTAGGATGGCGCCTCGCCCAGCCGGCGCGCAGAGCTGGCTCCCGGGCTGTGGGCAGCTTGCTTGGCTGCCCCTGCCAGACGTGGCGCGAATGCTGCTCTCCAGCAGGACGCCCCATGGGGCTGTTTTCTGCAGCCCTGACAGCGTGAGAGAGATGTGCTGTGAGTCCGCAACAGTGTACTCTCTACATCCAGGGGACGACGCAGCTCTCTGACCAAACACAAGCACGTGTGGTCGTCAGCAAGCTCTCGGACGGCCAAGAGGCCATTTTCACTGTTCCTTTTCCAAGTCAGTCAGAACCTCTGGAAAATTGTTAGGAATCATGAGAAAGCTTCAAGGGCTATTTCCCAAAAGTGCATAAATGATGTCCCCGTGGTGGTTTGTGCATGTGAGTACAGCATTCAGTTGGGCCAGGTCCACCCATAACAGCAATTCACATAAACACCAGTCCCTAGCGCCCTTCCAGCAGAGCACCCAGCTCTGGGCATGTAGATAAGGTCCAAACTGGTTACATCGTATCATCAGTTAGCAAGAAAGCAGGTTGGGGGCTTCTGGTAAACCTGTCTCTAGGGGCTGGGGCGCTGCTCATTCTGTGCATCCTCTGTCGTATGGACTGTGAGCATCCAGCCCATCCACGGTGTCCTCACTGACGCCCTTGAGATGCAGGAATTACAGCTAAATAGCACTCTTGAGGGCCTCCGACTAACAGCTGTTTCTTTGTGCAGTTTTGCCCGGGTCAGGGAGACCAGGGTCTTGGCCTGACAGCCCCTCTTCTGACTGCTGCAGGCTGACACCTTCCCTCACAACTCTGCATAGTAGCTGTTGAGGAACTGGGATTGATCCCAGGGATGGCTGGCTTAAAAATTCAAATTTGTTTATAGGCGAATCATTTTTAACGCACACGCTGTCCAAGGAAGCAGCTGGTCTTTAAAGCTAATTCAGTGTTTCTGTAGGAAGAGTTTTCACCCTTAACTTCAAATATTCTAAAGCCGCCCAATCAAACTAATCCCTAAAAGACCTACTGGCCGTGTGCTCACTGTGAACCAAAGTATGCAGGAGGGAGGATGAGGGGCTCGGAGCCACAGCTCAGGACTCCTCCAGCTGTCCTGTGGTGTGAGGGCAGTAACGGGCCAGCGGCTTCTGGGGGGTGCGGGGGGGCCGCCTGGGAGAAGGAATGCCCAGTTAGCGGTGAACAGCAGTTAAGACCAATGGCCCAGTGCAGCCAGTCTGTTGCAGTAAAGTCCAGACTGTTCGAAAATACTGAATGGAGTATCTCAGAAAGGACCGTGGGGGCTCAGACAAAGACACCCGAGTGTGGTGATTTGACTTCTTCTTGCCCTTTCTTGAATCCAGGTGCAAGAAGTTTGATCAAATAGCGTAGGTCGGGAGGGAAGAGCCTCCCCCACCCCCCACTTTGCATTTCGAATGTAACATGGCCTTACTCCTCTGGTTTTTTAAAAATCACTGGAAGCCTGATCCCTACTCTGAAAGAGATCTTGCAGGGGATTTATACAGAAAGTGTGCCTCCGTGCAGAGAAAGCCGCGCACAGACCCCTCACAGTTGTGCTCACAGTTGTGCGGCACAGTCTCCTGCACCTTTGGTAAGAGTGTTCCGCTAAAGCCAGGCGTGGGCTTCTCTGTGCGTGTGTGGGGATGGTTGGACCCCATCTCAGGGGTACCTGTGTCCTTCCCCCAAACCCACGCGCAGGTAATAATCCAGCCTGTGTCAGAACAAGGTACGGACGAGTGTGGAGAGCACTTCTGTTGTATGTTTCATTTCAGTTAGTTAATTAGCGCCCTTCTTTGTACTCCTTGAGAAAGGAAGAAGGAAGGCGCAGGCTGGAAGAGAAGAGATCATGTAGCCTAATCTGATGCCCTCAGTGGACACCAGGTGAAGATGGCCAGCTGGTTAGTGGCGGGGCCAGGCCTCTTGGCTCCACATACCCCCCGCCCAGTCCTCACCGGAATACCCGTCATTCACAGGATGGTCTTGGCTCCCTCTAAGAGCTGACAAAGACCTGTCGCTGTTTGTGACTATTTGTGAAATGCCCTGCCTGGTGCTGAAAGCTTCTTGCTGTGTATCTCAAACCAGACCAGCCAGCCTCCGGACGTTTACTCTCCTCTCCCTTCTTCTGGTCAGTCCTGCCCCGCCGTGATTCTATAAAGGTCGGGGATTGGCTGTTTTAAATTCCACTGTAGCCACTTCCCACCCACAGTACCGACTTTCCACAGAGAAGCAGGATTCCGAACAAGCACCTAAATAAGAGAATTTATGTAAACTCTCTTTCCCAAATGCTCCGATAGCATTAGGTGCCCAGTAGCATCAGTGAGCGTCTGCAGACAGCCACCAGAGGACAGGGAGCATGCTGTCTGGACCAGTGCACCTCGAGGGGCCAGGCTGCTGGCTTCGTGATAAACAGAACACCCAGCACAAAAGTAAAGGAAAAAAATCCATGGAGTCCCTTTTGCATCTTACAGGCCACGTGCGAGCGCGGGTTTGCAGCCATGGAAGAAACGCACCAGAAGAAGATTGAGGACCTGCAGAGGCAGCACCAGCGGGAGCTGGAGAAGCTGCGAGAGGAGAAGGATCGCCTCCTGGCCGAGGAGACGGCGGCCACTATCTCAGGTGGGAGCTGGGCCGGGACGGGCCACTTTCACGCCAAGGGCAGGACAGGTGGCAGGCTTCCTGAGCTGACCGCCCAGCTTGGCAGCGAGCAGCCTTCGCGCTGCCTTTTAGCTGAGGCTTCGGCTTGGTTATCCAAGGCAAGCCTTCCACAGTCCCCTCCAAGGAAGAGGCTGCTTTCAGGAGCCCTCTGAGAGCTTGTGAGCCCAGGGCCGGCACCCCCAGCGACACCTGAGGGGCTGTCCCCAGCCTCGCCAGTCCCGGCGCTGGCATTGCCCTCGCGCTGCATAAGCCCACCTCTGCCTGCAGTGCCGAGAACATCAGAGCCCAGCGTTGCTGCAGCTCCTGCCTGGTGACAGACTTCACCACGGAGCCGACGTGCTCTGCCCTGAGCAAGCCTTCGTGCCGCCGGTTTTGTTACGCTCCCTTTATGTGCTTGTGCTTTACAGTGCTGGCCTATTTCGGGATAAAGGAAAAAGCTACCACCCTGAAAGTCTGCTTGTTGTATAAACTTGTGCTTGATTTTTTTTTCTCTTTTTTTTATTATGTTAATCAGCATACATCACATCATTAGTTCGTGATGCGGTGTTCCATGATTCCTTGTGTGCGTGTAACACCCAGTGCTCCGTGCAGAACGTGCCCTCCTTAATACCCATCCCCAGGCTGACCCATCCCCCCGCCCCCTCCCCTCTAGAAGCCTAGGTTTGCTTCTCAGAGTCCATCGTCTCTCATGGTTCGTCTCCCCCTCCGATTTCTCCCCCTTCGTTCTTCCCGTCCTGCTATCTTCTTCTTTTTTTTTTTTTTTTTTTTAACATATAACGTCCTATTTGTTTCCGGGGTACAGGTCTGTGATTCAGCAGTCTTGCACAGTTCATAGCGTTGACATTCATTTCATCAGTTTGGCTTTCTTCAAACGTTTAAAAAAAAACAATGCATCCGCATCCCTTTTGTGGTGGGAGCTCCTGGGAGTTCCTTGGCTTGTGTCTGCCTCAGAGAGTCCGTCTGGGAAGGGCTGCCCGCCCTTCCTTTCTTTCATGACATCGCGTCCACAGCGGGCAGACACGCCGTCCTGTCCGTCTTGCCCCCTGAGCCTCTCATGCTGACGGCCATGTCCTTGCCTGCAGCCATTGAAGCCATGAAGAATGCCCACCGGGAGGAGATGGAACGCGAGCTGGAGAAGAGCCAGAGGTCCCAGATCAGCAGCATCAACTCGGACATCGAGGCCCTGCGACGACAGTACCTGTGAGTCAGCTTCCTGCCCCAGGAGGCGGCCCTTGCAGGCCGGGCTGGAGGGAAGCCATGCGTGTGGGGAGTGGCACCTTCCCTGTGTCTTTTTAAGAGCCACAAAGACATGGGTCTTAAGGGGGGGCGTTGGCGGAGGCCCAAGGGTTCTGAGGGCAGTTCCAAGCCGCCCTTCCTGAGGGGCTGAGCACCTTCCCAAGTCATCCTTGGTTCTGCTAGTGGAAGAAGCAGTCCTTTCCAAGGAGTCCAGGGTGACTGAGAGCAATGCCATGAGGCTTGGATTTTCTGAGCGTGGGTAGAGTCTGGTCCTGGCTTATCGGACACACAGCACCTCAAAAGTTAGTGCTGAAAGCAAGTCACAAGTGTGACTTCTCTCCTGACATCATGGGAGTTTTGTCTGTGGGACCGTTAAGCTCCTTGAAAGAGGAGAAGGGAAGGATGCAGGAGAGATTCTGTAAGCCTGCAGTACTTTGAAGTGGTCCCTTTTTTAGCTGGGTACAAATTCGCGGAGACCACAGAATGCATGGGGCCTGTCCTCTGCTCAGCTCTTTGGGGTGTGTCTCGTCGTTCCTCAAGTTTCGCAAAAGGGACTCACGGGGGCCTTTTAGAGGCCTCGGCCAGGGGTGTGGGCAGAGGCATGAGCCGTGCCCTCTCCCCAGGGAGGAGCTGCAGTCGGTGCAGCGGGAGCTGGAGGTCCTCTCGGAGCAGTACTCCCAGAAATGCCTGGAGAATGCCCACCTGGCCCAGGCGCTGGAGGCTGAGCGCCAGGCCCTGCGGCAGTGCCAGCGTGAGAACCAGGAGCTCAATGCCCACAATCAGGTGAGCCTGCAGCCGGTGGGGTCGGGGGGCCCATGCTGGAGTTGGGAGCCAGGCCCCACCTGAGGTGGCCCTGGGTTCCTGAGCCACAGAGTGGCCACACCCTCTGCAGGCATCTCCCTGATGTCTGACATTCCCCAATATGGTGACAGAAACTCACTGCAGGTGGTGGAGCTGGGGCCGTCTATTCCATGAACCAGCTGTTTAAATTTGGACTCATTTGGGCTCTAGCCCTTGTGGGATCTCTGAGATGTTTCCGTTTCTCCTGAGCATCTCTGGATTTCTGCTTCGTCACTGCTGGGCAGGGCCTGAGAGGGAGGGTCATTGCACCTGACCCAAGTCTCCTGCCCCCAAGGCTGGGACCATGTTTAAACGTCCCCCCGTCAAGACCATACACTGTTCATGTTTTTTTTTTTGGTCAGATTATTCTCTTAAAATTTGTCTGTTCTTCAGAAAATTAGGGTGCATTTAAAGTCCTGGCTAGGGGAAAGACTCGAGGTAGGTTTACTTTGATAAAAGCTTCTCTGACGTACCAAGTTGGACCACTGTCTGCATGACCCACCGGCTCATCCTCCCCAGGCACTGAGTAGACAAATGTGTTAGCCAGCTCCAGGCTCGAGGTCTCTGGGCCCACACTCACCCCGTATGACAGCGCTCGGGCAGGACTGATTCCCGCTGGTCACTGCGGTGGCCTAAGATGACCACTTATCAGTTGGAAACAAGGCACAGAAAGTGAGCGGGAAGGTGGCAAGAGGGCCCACCCCTCCAGAAACTCAAGGTGGACAAGCTGTGAGATGCACCGATACTAGTGACGGTGACAAGTTATTGAGGATTATGGAACCCTGCGTCCGCAGTTGCGCCAACACAGCGCACATGAACGGCTCTTGCGGGGCTGTACGTCACAGCCAGCGGCCGCCTTGCACATTACGTCTAAAGCGCCGCAGTGCGCGTAAGCCCTGCCCGTGGTCCCCTCCGCTCACACATGTCCCCCTCTTCTGGTGAGGAAGGCTGCCCCCAGGCGGCTCTGAGGCCTCCCTCCTTGCTGTCCCGCAGGAGCTGAACAACCGCCTGGCTGCGGAGATCGCACGGTTACGGACGCTGCTGACCGGGGACACGGGCGGAGAGGCCGCTGGCTCCCCGCTCACACAGGGCAAGGACGCCTATGAGTTAGAGGTACTGCTCGGAGCCCCTTCACCCCGCTTGGGGACCCAGAGGTGGCCTCAGCTTATGGGGTCATGGCAGGGATGAGAGCTGGAGACCGCAAGAAGGACGTGGAAGGATCCAGATCGCCCCAGGCAGCAAAAGAGAATAGCTGCCAGGCAGTGTGGGGTCCACGGCAGGAGTGGGGACCCCTCGTGAGGATGCCATGGGGACCTTTAACCCCATGCCCACAGTTTCTGCCACACCACAAACACCGCCCGCCTGAAGTGAAACATTTCCTAGCCCTGTGAACACCACAGCTGCTCACGGTCCATAGCGCCGTATTACTCGGGCAGGGAGGTTTATTTTAAGTCAGAATGATGGATTCTTACACGTTTTTATAAAAGCACTTAGCTTTCTCCCCATTCAGTTAACATTTCATCGTGAAAATCGGCTCAGTGATGTGGGAGAGGCTGAGAGAGTTCCAACAGTTTCAGCAGGATGCTTCTTTCATGGGCCCCGGCCCGGGAGCTCACTGCGGCCCCCCAGGCTGAGGAACGGGGTTCTCGGGTCTAGGAGGAATCGCGGGGATTTCTTTCTGTTTCTCTTTGTGATGGGCCAGCTGTTAGCAACGGTGAAGTGTATTTGCTGGCATTGGTGGTTGCATGTCACTGGCGGGGGGAGGGGAGGGCGGTTCCCTGTTCGGCCGTCATCTTTGCTTTTGAGACTGGAAGTCCCTTTGCCCCTCAGTGTCAGCCCCTACTTCCTCTGTTTTTCTAGGTATTACTGCGGGTCAAGGAGTCAGAAATACAGTACCTGAAACAGGAGATCAGCTCTCTCAAGGATGAGCTGCAGACAGCGTTGCGGGTAATGGCGCCTCCCCGCGGGAGACACGTCTGAGGATGGGCTCGGGGCGGAGTGGGGACACCGGTCTCCAGAGCTCACAGAGCTCCAGAACACTCATGCGCTCAAACTGTAGGCTCTTCGAGAGTAGATTTCATTCTCACGGGGAATGTGGTTTCAAAATTGAGCTCTCGTAAAACGCCAGCCTGTCAGCACATGTAGTAAAACTAAGGTCTCGCTGTGTTCCTGTCCTCCATGCCTCCTATGTGCTTTGGCAGGGACCGTGAGACCAGAGACAAATGTCGTCCTGGAAGGTGAGAGCTGGCTGAAGCCCACCCGTCTGCACCAGGGCACTCTTGGAGGCAGGGAAAAGATGAGGGAAGCCCTGGTGGCCATTCAGTCACTTAGGAAATCCAAGACAGGGGTGCCTGGGTGGCTTAATCGGTTAAACGCCTGCCTTCAGCTCAGGTTGTGATCCCGGGGTCCTGGGATGGAGCCCCACGTCGGGCTCCTTGCTCAGCGGGGAGTCTGCCTCTCCCCCAGCTCATGTTCATGCACTCTCTCTCTCAAATAAATAAAATCTTAAAAAAAAAAGAAATCTAAGAGGGTGGTTTCCAGAAGGTCTGCGGTGGGTCAGGGCCACGCCTGTGCTTGTCAGAGTTCCTGGGGATGCTCGCCCCGCGTCCGACAGAGACTCTCGGCTCTGTCTGTTTCACTTCATACTTAGTGTCGGCCCCTGGAAGACAGGGGTCCCCTGCCTCCCCGACTGTGGATGGCACCCCCCAGTCATTCTGCAGAGCGTTCCAGCCTCGTGGAGATGGACCGCCCAGCCTGGCCCTAACCACCCCTTGCTTCTGCTCTTCTTCTCAAGGACAAGAAGTACGCTAGTGACAAGTACAAGGACATCTACACGGAGCTCAGCATTGTGAGGGCAAAGGCCGACTGTGACATCAGCAGGTTGAAAGAGCAGCTGAAAGCAGCAACGGAAGCACTGGGTGAAAAATCCCCCGAAAACACCCCCGTGTCAGGATACGGTGAGTTCCCTGGGCTCCGGGCCAGGACCCCGTAGCTTGTGGTCTGAGTGTGTTACTGGCGCTGCTGTGAAGGCAGAGGAGCCTGGGTCTGTATCGAGACGTGCATTTCGTCACCCAGAACAACCGGAGGGGCGCCGGACCCCGGCCTCCGCGGGGGAGCCATCTTCCTCCCGGCATGCCGCGAGGCGATCCCCTACTCACTGCCTTGAGGGGACGTCGCGCTGTCCATGTGATTTTCACAGGAATCCCAGTTTGCATTTTTGCATTTTCCTGAAGAAAGTCAATAGTTTGGTGACGGCAGCTGTCACTAAACTAGTTACTTGATCCTGGGCCTTGACCATAGAATCTGCAAGAGGCCGTGCAGGTGGGGAAGGGGCAGGGAGGACATGGCTCCTGACAGCATGTGTAGCTCACCGATACCCAGAAAACGACCCTGTTTTCTCTCAGCCGGCCAAGCAGGAGTGATTGCGGCCGCACGGGTGCGTAGGCAGACACAAGGTCACTTGCGTTGCCGCTGGAGGACAAGTCGGCTGTCTTTCTGGAATCAGTCAGGCGATACCCGAGCACCACTCAGCAGCAAACTGTAGACTAACTCTGGAAGCCAGGTCACCAAGTGACAACAGTGGCTGCTCCTGAGGGGGAGCCCGGGGTGACCGGGGCCGTGGAGAGAGGAAGTCCTAGCATTTGGGGGTGGGTGCAGAGCTCCCGTCACCTGCCAGGTGACCTGAAAAACGCGTGCACGGAAAGGTGCCAACAAGGAAAGGTGGCATTCGCAGCAGATCGATGCCCATGGCTTCACAACACCGTGAAATACCAGCCGTTGTTAAGAGAAACCAGGCAGACGGTTCTGTTCTGACCTGGAACGAGATCCATCAACAGGATATACCAAGTGCAACCCCCCGCCCCCAGCAGGACACACGGCGTGGGGGGACCCAGTGTACATTTGCTTTGTAGCCGACTTTACCCCAAACTGAATGGTGGTTGTCTCGGTGGGGGCGGATTACGACTGTTGCTGTTCTGCTTTATAACAGTGCTGGGTTGCCAGGAGGAAGGTGGGAGTAAGTAAGTAACGGACCGAAACGTCCCCAGCCCTCCCATGCAGACACAGACGGAGGAGCCTAGCGCAGGGCCACACAGACGTCCTCTGGCCGGTCCAGGAGCTAGCGTGGTTTATGGTCGTTGGCTTTGTTTTCTCTTGAAGTTGTTTAAGGAACTGCCATAGGTGTGTGGTGATAACAGTAAGCCCGGGAGATTTTTAAACAGTCTGGTTGCACAGGGTTTTATAAAACAAAAGTAATGGATTCATTTGTTCCTTCAGATATAATGAAATCTAAAAGCAACCCTGACTTCTTAAAGAAAGACAGATCCTGTGTCAGCCGGCAACTCAGAAACATCAGGTCCAAGGTGAGTGTGGGGTGCAACCCCAGGGTGTGGGGGGCTCTCGGACATTAGAGAGAGGAGCCGGGGTCAGAGCCCACCACGGGCCGGAGCAGGGGTTCCCTGGTCCCAGAACGCCTCTGGCTCCACATGCCTACCTGCTAGGCCAGTTCTGGTGACTTCGAGCCCTGTTTCGCCTTCATGCTGAAGTGGAACTGACTTCTGACAGTGACAGTTGAGGGGCCAGGCCTACAAGAAGCAGGGCTTGCGGTGAATTCGACCTTGGACCTCCAAGGCCGGATTTCCCCCCAGACCCCCCCCTGGGCCAGCCCCACTCTGTCTGCGCTTCTTCACATGGCCCTAATGTAATATTGATGCCGCACCTTCAAGAGAGGAAGCTGCCTACACCCCTTCCCTCAGCCACAGAGTAGCATATACCCCGGCGGGTCCCTTGCCCGCTGTGCGCCTCCCCACGGAAAGGACGGGCGGAGGGTGGGAGTAATGAGCATGTTGCATTTAGGATTTATTGTGTGTGTGTGTCTTATTTTTTGCTCTTTCCTCTGACAGTCCGTAATTGAGCAGGTCTCATGGGATAACTGAAACGAGCCCGCTTCCAGGTCCCCTGTCATGTAGGTAAACCACCTCTCACCACCCACCCACCTGCCACCCTCGAGGGGGTGGCTACCTGCATGCACTGCTCACACCTCCATAGCAAGCTCCTTGTTTTATTGTTACTTTATCTGCTCCAGCAAGCACATACACCATCCTGGTCAAGTTTCTTTAACCCGTTCTGGGGACTTCACTGGCCCTTTAACCTCTTCCCAGAGTTGACCCTTTGCCGAGGGGAGCTCCCCCCCAGCTTGGCAGGCGGCCCATAGAGGCAGCATTTCGGGTGGGCGTGGGCCTGTGAGTGGCCCCCGGCACTGGTCAGCGTGCATGGCGATTGATCTGTGCTTTACACGTTCTCTGGGGAAACCCATCTTGCCCTCCGTCAAGAGAGGCCCTGACACAGACCCAGCAGCCACTGACAAGCAGAGTCCCATCGCTAAGAAGCCCCCACTGGGTTAGTTCATAGGCCAAGGCAGGGCGGAGCCTGGGTTTCAGGGAGCTGGTGCCTTGTGAGCATAGCCGGGAAAACGGCTCAGCAGAGCAAGGGGACTAGGGATTGGGGCAGAAGGGTTACTAGCACTTTTTTTGTTTTTGTTTTAACAAAACAAAAGCTTCTCTCTGGGTGCCACTGAAGGCAGAGGTACACAGAAAGGAGGTAGGGGCACCGAAGTGCTGGCTGAGAAACATCAGCCTGTTTGCAAATACGCAGAAGGACAGTTGGGCTCATGCATGGACCGTCCCCAGTCTCCACACCAGGCTGTGCATCCCAGGTACCCAGCCGCTCACGGCAAAGTGTGCTTCCGGGTGAGCTGACTTGATCTCGGCAATTCTCCGACGATAAGGTTAAGAACAGCAGGAAGAACCCCTGGGCTGGGACACGCCCCTGGCCGAGGGGACACGGACATGGGCCCAGGGCCGCACAACACGGCTCTTTTTGTTTACGTGCCTGGGGCTCACGCTCATGCGGGACCCTCAGTCCAGCGTCCTCTGGCTAAGGGGCTGTAGCCCAGTGGCTTGGGGGAAACGGGTGTGCTTTAGGAAGACTTTTAGGAAAATCCCAAGTATTTTAAACCTAGTCGGTTTGGTTTTATTTATTCTTCTACAGCCCCAAATCACTTATAACCAAATATGGTTTAGGGTTGATTGTAAACTTGGTTTGGGCTTTTTCCCTAAACATGAAAAACATTCTGTTTGGCAAAAGTAGAACCTATTCTTTGGCTTATGGTTTTCGTATTAAAGATTGTATTTTCTATTTGAGGTTGAAGCGTAGCTGTTACAACTTCACTGTTAATGATTTAGGCCTTGTGCCCATGCTGTAAATGACAGTCCGTGAAAAACCTCTCGCTCCCTTCTGGAAAGCCTTGCTGCAGTGTGGCCACCCCGTCAGGACAGAGTACGTGTCCGAGTCCCTGTGGAGGAATAAAAATACACGGGGATTCTGGACCAAAGGGGCAGAAAATCAGTGAAAAGACCTTTATCAGTAAGGGCCTTTGCAGGGGGTGTGCTGGGAAAACCTTTTATGCCGGCCAGGAAAGAGCTAAGGCAAAGGTAGAAAGTGAGGGAACTGCCAGGCACGCGCAGAAGGTCTGCCTGGGCCTCCAGGGCGGCCTCAGACTCTCAGAGGTGCCAGGCCCCAGACAGGAGTGGTAAGAAGCCCAGGAATGGGGTTTCTCCAGATGTCTTTGAGTCTACGTTTGGCTTGGCCGAGTTCCCAGAGGGTCGGTGGGCAGGCACAGTCCGGCTGGTGTGTATAGAAAGACGGGGACCTTGCAGAGTCCTTAGGGACACGTGTTGTGATGCCAAGCAAGGCTGGAGCTGTTCACGATGTCAGCGGGCACTCACACTCCGATGTGTGCTGTCCTTTTCCCCGACTGTATTTGGAGATCCCCTGCCACCGCCACGGGAAGACCTGGGAATGAAGTTGCCCAGAAACCAAAGCTGTCACTGGTGCTCTTTGTTACGTGATCTGATATGTACTGTTTTCTGTCCTTTATCGATGTTCTGGGTCTGTATCCTGCCTCACTCAAAAGGAGGGCAGGTCTCGGCACCCGAAAAGTCAAGGCAAGCTCATTGCTTAAAAGCATCATGGCTTTTCTGGTATTGAGACCAGAGCAAACCTTTCTCCACAGGGTTCTCATGGAGGCCCCTGTCTGGTAGGCTGAGTATGGGGTCACACAGGCGCTTGGTGCAGAGACCGGCCCTGTGGGAGGAATGAGCCACGGTGCACCCCGAGAACCCTTCTCCGGGTGCGCAGGGTCAGTGTGGGGGTTCCGTTCTTCCTGCCCGTACAGCTCTAGTGTACAGCGGTGTGTGGCACTGGGCACACAGCCGTGGGTCCCCCTCATCGCCCTGCCTCCCAGCTACAGCCCTGAGCACAGCAGGACTCAGTACCCACGGGCAGGACGTTCGTGTCCCTTGGAAGTCCCCAGCTAGAACAAAGCAGTGTGGCCCGTGACAGGCCTGCCTGTGGGCTTGGCACTTAGGGGCGGGGCCTCCCGCATCATGGCCACGCGTGCCCAGCACCTGTCCGAGACCGACTGCCTGAAGCACTTGGGGGAAGACCCGAGAGCATCTGAGGCAATTGTGTGCATTAAGGGAATTTCAGGTTCAGAATGGGACATGGATTTGCCCCCATCCTCCGACCAACTGGGTAGCAAGCTTCAGCAGTGACCCTAACCAACTGCTTATGTTTAGGTTCACCTGGACCAGTGGGTTTCAGAAAGGTTAGCCATAGAACACTTTATTTAAAAAAAAAAAACAAAACTTTATTCATTTACACACATCCAGCTCCATGGTATAGAAAGCAAGCAGAGCTGTTCTGCGTGACTCGGCGGGGGACACCGGGACCCACCCGTCTTCCCTCAAACCTTACAGGCAGCCGGGCCCCACAAGCCCCACTCACAAACACGTGCTCTGAAGCATCAGGCTGGGCTCTTCAGGCCCACAGGACCAGCACAGTGCTCTGATTTGGAGCTACAAGTGGTGTAGTCATCTGGAGCCTGTACCCAGGGCCAGCCCTGAGTTTCCCACGTCTTAGTGGAGCCTGGACCTTCATGAGCTCTAGCACGTGCCGGCCAACCCCGGGAATTGGCAGTGGTGTCGAGACTTGCCACAAAGATCCCATGGCCGCTGAGGAACCAGCCCCATCCCAGCCAGTGCTGGAGTATCCTCAGCCATGCCCCGAAGTGATCTTCCTTTCCTCACTGAGAAATTAGATCTTTGGGAAAAGCCTCCAAGAGTAAAGCGGGACATATTTTCTCCCCATTAGGAAAGTGTCACATCCTCGAACCCACAGATTTAAACTTCGCCCAAGGTCACACATGAGGAGAGTATTGGTTTCACGTTCTGAAAATCTTAGTGACTGCGTTGATGTGTTCCCAGGGCCCCAGTCACAGCAAACCCCCCCCACCCCCGAGCTGCTGCTCAGGGAGCGCCAGGAGCGGGCCCCTGGCCGCAAGCTGCGCAGCCCTCCTCCCGACGCTCAGCATCATGGTCACCGAGGAGCCAGAGGTGGACAGACCCCCCCCGGGAGGAGGACACGGACGGGCGCATTTCTAGTTCTTGGCACAGCTTTTGCCCCTGGCTGAATCGATCTGATCGCTGCTTTTCTAAAGAGCCCTAAGCTCAGAGTTCAGCTGCTTACACACATGGTCTGTTTCTCTGGTTTTTTCCTTTTTCATCCAGATAACACCGTTTCACAGGGGACGTCTCTCTCCTTAGCATGCCCCACTAATCTCTCGAGGAGCCCTTCCTGCCCCGCCCCGCACCCCGGCCCCTGCACCGCCGCCTCACTGCAGCCCCGCCCACAGCGCCGGGCCGGGTGCTTAACGGTCTCTCTCTCTCTCTCTCTCCTGCTCTCGTCTCCACGCAGAGTCTGAAGGAAGGCCTGACGGTGCAAGAACGCTTGAAGCTCTTTGAATCCAGGGACTTGAAGAAAGACTAGCCGTGTCCCGTTCCACTTGAACACACACCGCTCCCAGCCTGCGGCAGCGCTACCCTATACCTTCATTTTTTATTATTGTTGTTGTTGTTACTGTTGTCATTACCTGTGGGTATGGATGCATGAGAGACTGGTTTATGGGTTGTTCACACCGTTCTCTGCTGTGTTGATTCCAGCTTCCTATGTCTCTGTCAAAGCTGGTTTTTCCCGTGGTATTCTCAAATTAGTCAAGCAGCGGGGGCCAGGAGGGCTGTCCGCTCCTGGCCGGGGTCTGTGCAGAGCCCCCCGCCCGCCGCAGTCCCCCGCACTCACTGTCAGTATTAAGGCCCAGCAGCCTGTCGCTAAGCTAGCTCGTCCCGCCGAGCGCACTGTGCGGAGTCAGGGCCCCGGGCGGCTCTCACTGCGCTGCGTGTGGGCCCCGCGGGGAGAGAACAGGGCGTCAGGTGGCCGTGCTGACCACGCGCTAGCCTGCGGGAGGAGCAGGTTGGGGGGCATGGTCCGCAACCTCCACTCACCACCTCTGGCTTGGGAGAAGGACAGCACTTTGTACTTGTCCCACTCCTTCAGCTTAGAGCCACACCCAGGTCATCGTGGGGAACCGTTCACAACCTGGAAAATGTCGAAAGCAGCCATTCCTATTTTTGTTTGTTTTTTATTAAATCTTGCACAAAACCCCGGCCCCTCTCATTCCTTCCTACGCTCGTTCCTTTCTTGGTCACTAGCAGCCCTGGTCTTTTCGTAAAGACTTGGAGTGTTGACCTGCGGCCCGGGGTTTCAGACTGTGCACATCGTGATGAATTCCCTTGGGTTGTCAGTCCTGCAAACGAAAAGCCTGTTCGTGTCTTGAACCTTTCTGAAAGCAACCTGCACATTCCTTTTGAGAAGGCTGAGGGAAAACCCCTATGTTAAGTCAAGAAAGTACAGAGGATGTCGGAATCAGATGAAAACTGCCATTATTACGTTTTTAACTCTAACCTGAGCTCTGAGAAGTGCTCTTGCAGCGTCAGAGAGCCCAGAGTAAACCTGTACTAACAAAGCTGCTTTTTCTACCCATCAGAGTAAGCCCTTTTAACCGTCCGGAAACACTGCAGTAGTTCTCGAGACTCTCCTGCCCTGGGGTTTGTGTCGCGGCCCCGGGAAGACCGTCAGTCGTCTTGAGACGCGCAGCCCAGGCAAGTGGCAGCCGTGCTGTGGCCTTCGGGGCAGGCGGGGAGCGTCGCCAAGGAGGGTGCAGGGGAGCCTGTTCTGGTCTCGCTGTGTCAGCGCTTCCGTTAGGTCGGCAGGCCCTGGGCACAGGGGTACTCGGGGGTAAAAATGGAGAAGTCACCGTGCTCGGTATCTAGATTCAGTTAAGACCAGGGTCATCCGCGGAAAGCCCTGGAAGGGCCTGGGGTGTGCGGCCTTGTCACTGGAATAAACTCGGAGTTCTCCACGGGCATCGAGCATTTCCCTCACCAGCTTCCAGACTCCCCCCACACGTGTCACTCCTTCGCTGCTATTCTTCCATGTTGTCCAAGGCAAGAGAACGTTAGGTCTGGTTTTTTAGTTCTGCTTCTCAGACACCAGTCCTCGCACCACCCCGTGTAGATTGGTAGTGTTTTTAGAAAGGACCATGATTTTGTGTGTGCCGCTCAGAATGGGAGTGTAGAGAAGGAATGCACAGGCCCCGGGGCCTGTTCTCTGGAACACTGTTCAGCGTGTGTGTTCTCCACGGCGGACAGCGATGTGCTGTCCAGCAGGATCTGGCCTCTGCTCAGGCTGTCTTGGCGCTCACGTCACCCCTTGGAGAAGTCCCCCCACCTAGTGCAGTTTCCTCTGTGGCGGCCCCTGCTGCCTTGGGGACTCCGGCCCTCCCGCCTTCCTGGCAAGGTCCCTGTGCGGAGTCAGACTGTGGCCAGGGTGTGAAATCTGCAGCGCTTTGAATAGGTCGAAGAGCACCTACGTACTCTGTCGTTTCCCGTGGAGGTTAGACGTCCGGAATTGTGGGAGCAGGAGTTGAGGGCGGCCCGTGGAGGTCGAAGGCAGAGACAGGGCAACACCTCCTACTCGCCGCAGAGACAGCTCACGGTCCTGGGGCGGCTGCCATCGGGGGTTACCGGGAAGGAGACTAGAAATGGGGGCACTCTGGCTCCTCTCCAGCAAAAGGCTGATCCTGCTGCAGCCCCCCAGAAAAAGCCCCGAGCGTCGCAGGGTCATGACTGCTGAGGAGCCCGTTCTCTGGCTGGAGGGAGCAGGCAGAACAGAGCAAAGAGGGGCTTCACTGAGCTCCTGTGTGTCACAGCCCAGCCCCCACTGCGCCTCCCGAGAGAAGAAAGAATTGTGGAGGTGGACCAGGTGGGTTTCTGTGCTGGTAGAGAAAGGGTCCTTCAGGGGCTGCGGATGGGGTCGTATAGGCGATTGTCAATTCGGGGCGCCCCCCACCGCCCCCGTGCCAACCACGCGGCAGGAGCGTCCCCACTGCCCCGGGGCCGGGGGGGAAATGAGAACACAGATCGAGTTTTCACAGCTGTGTTTCCTTCCCTGGGCACTAGCTCATCTGTAACCCGCTAGCCCCTGCAAGTGAGCCCCGCCAGGCACGTGAAAAGGGGGTAAGGACACCGCTGGACGGGTCTCGTGAGCTCAGCCGCGCGCGGAAGAGCCGCCCTCCGCCGCTCAGGCTCGTCGGGCGGCGGGCGGTGCCGGTGCCTGCGTGGGTTGAAGGCTGGCATTCCGGGGGCACTGGCTGGCTGCAGCCTCCCCGTTGGCGCTGTGGCAGGCGGAGCACTTTGCCGTTGGAAGTGGGAGCTTGCGCCTTCGGGCATCGAGATGGGTCTGACTTTGAGGGAGGAAGTGAGGGCCGACCTGGGGCGACAGGCGGAGGCCATGGTGGGAGGTGTGTGTTTGTCCGGAGCCACGATCAGAGGCCCCTCCGTAGGAATCCAGCAAGTGGAGAGGCCGAGGGAAGGCCCGGGCTCTGGCTCATTAAGTACAATCTGTCACTTGTTCCCTGGCCCACAGCGAGCCATCGGGGGCCTCACCAGGGCCAGCCTGGGAAAGAAAGGGAATTGTGGTTTTTAAAAAACATAACTGTGACCCTGAGTCTGTCTAAAGGGGATTCTGACAGATAAGGCCAGGAGACAAGACCGATGGCATAAAAAACATCTTTAGAGATCTGTTTAATATTCTGGAACACTAACTGCTGGCCTGAGGATGGAACATGACCCTCTTTGTCACTGCTGCCTGGCGCTCCCCTCGGCAGGTCTGGTTTCTAAGCTTGTCCTGGGCATGAGGCCGCACGTCAGGCCACCTCTGCTGGGCTGGAGCTGAGGGCGCTCCCTGGGACCACTTCTCTCTGGCTATAAAATGACAGCTGTGCCAGGGTCCCCACCGGCTCACTGGCTAACCCCCCAGGTCTGTTCCCCACTCCAACAGGCCAGCAGGCAGTGAATCTCTCCTTTAAAAGGTCCCTTCCTCCCACACTTGCTAGTAACTCCCCGGCTCGGGCCGGCCCCTGGCCCCTTCGGCTGAGTCGGCCTGCAGGCTCTCCCCCGCCTCGGTGCCTGCCTGCTGGCTTCACGCCTAGCCACGTACCGATTCTGGATTCTGCCGCTCAGGCCCGAAGTTCGGAGGCAGTTCTTCTCCAGGGACTCAAAGCTGTTTTCAGTTAGAGCGGAAGGAATGTAACCCATCAGCCTCTTGAATGCAGGAGTGTTCCTAAAAGGAACTTTCCTCCTCATTGTCCTAAAGAAGCTTGGAATTTTTAACACTTTCCATTCTAGACACAATTTCAGAAAGCCAGAAAACTAAAACAATTCCGCGACCCCCTGTTATCACCAAGAAAGCCTGAAGCGGGGGGAGGGGGAGTGTATTTTCAAAGTTTACAAAGGACAGGGAAGTATGTAGTCCTCCACTTAAAAGGAATCAGATACTGAAAGGAAAACAGCTTGGCATGCTAATTGGAAGCTTCACTTCTCCAGAAACTTCAATCGTTTGTATTCCCTCCCACCCTGAATGTTCTGAAATTGAGCTATGGCTGAGTTTTCTGTTAGGCTGGCATCTACTGTGTCAACAGGTCTCACCCTCCGCCCCGATGTGTCCCCACTGGGCAGAGTGTGGCGAGCGGGTCTCCGTGCCCAGCACCACAGCCCCACCCTTCACACGGGGTTGGGAACCGGCTGGTGCTGAAGCTTCTGAAGTTCCAGGATTGGCACACTGCTTTTTTCCTCTTCCGTCCTAGGCCCCTCCGCCTCCGCTCATTGTTGAGAGAGGAAGCCCTAGCTTCTAGCCCCGCTACAGCACCGGCCTCTCAACCGGCGAGTGCGAAGGAGCACCGGCGGGTTTCCCACACGCTTCACACGTGGGGCATGTGGGGCCTTCTCGGCTTTTCCCTGCCACCGGGTCCCCACAAGGTGTGAGCTCAGATGCTGCCCATCTAATCCTGGGAAAGGTCTGTTTACCCACCTGAGATCAGGTCAAAAGCTAAAGTCCTTGGCTGTTCTCAGCACCGAGTAGGACACTGTGGGCACATCCCTTCTTCATGGCCACATCCACCCGATCCTCGGGGTGCTGTTAGGACATGCCCCCCCCCTCCTTGTACTTGGGCTCAGTGCTGTGTGGTTGCACACCTGGACACACACTCTTAGCAAGCTCATGCTTCCCACAGTTGAAGATTTAAGTTAAGAAGGAGCCTGAAGTGAGTCTAGTAAACCTGCTGGCCTGGGGCCCTTTGCTGGGAAGCCATGACATACAGGCAGGATGGAAATGAACAGGATCACTGTCTCCAAGGGTTGTCTGCTGGAAGAGACCCAGCCTCATTCTTGTGCCCTTTGGAGAACAAGTTTCAAGTATCCTTGTTTCTTTATAAAGGGAAGAGGGCTCCCTTCTCGAAGTGTTTCAACAGAAGATGCTCAGCAGAGTAGGAGGAACAGGTCAGCACCCTACCCCGGCATAGGGAGCCAGGACCACCTGCTCAGACGCAGCCTGGGCCCTTGTCCTCTGCGCGTCCACACGGGCTTTGGGAAGAGAAGCCGCTGCGTGCTCTGTGTGGACGCCAGCCTCTCTGTATAGAAAAGCAGCCGTGTTTATTTTCTTTAAAAAAACCTGTACATTATCCAGAGTGAGCAGTGTAAATATTACTGGGAAGTTACTGCAGGGATTTTTTTGTGTGTGACAAAGTTTGTGTGGATTTAAAAAAATAAAATCCTATGCAGACTTCCCTTTGTAAGCTGGGGCAGACAGCTTTGGGTACAACCTTGAACTCCACCCAGCATTA